TTGGAGATACTTTTATTGTGCCTTTCTTAGGTTCTGCCTTGGGATTGACCGCAATGTGCAGCCGGGGGTGGGGAAATTTGGTTGCATTTGACTGGATTGATTTGCCCGTGGGCAGGGAATTTGATTGCAAATTGTTGAAAAAAGTCAAATCCCCACCCTATGCCCTGCCTCCCCCCCCGCCGGCATTACATTGATAGGTGCATAACTATTTGAGCTATTATCAAGGTTAGAGAAGCCTTTTTTGTTTGACAGCTGTCTGAGAGGCGCGGGTCGCATTACGGCCAGTTTTGTTGAGGATTGTTTACTCTACGGATTAAAATCTGTCAACACACGCATTTTCTAATGCGACCCAACGTCAACGTTTGCGTTTTTCAAAAAATTTCAAAATCTGAGAAAAGGATCAGAGACGCCGGTGTGCTTGGGTGGGGCTAGCCGATCTTGCCAAGTTTTTTTAAAACAAAGGGAACCGCATCTGGTGCTATCAAAAGTTGTCATTTTGTGCTAGCGTGTGACGTAAAGGTCAAAAGATAAAAAATGAAAGCATACTACGCTTTGCGAGAATTGAAACAAAGAAGTAAATAATTAAAGTGCAATTCTAGAACCGATTGATAAATAGTGCTGGACGCCATCTTTTATATTGAGACTTGATCTGTTTTTGTGGTGAATTTGAGAGCAAGGATCTAGTAGAGGAGTAGATATACCGTACAATTCCGAAAATAAGCCCCTCCATGTATAAGCCCCTCCAAATATAAGTTCCCCAAACTCGTAACTCAAAAACCCTCCGTTAATTTTAAAATCGCCCCTCCAAATATAAGCCCCCTGAGGGGCTTGTACTTGGAAATTTCCCTCAAATACAAAGTAAAACAAAGAAAAACGGCAAATTTCCTTCCAAGATGAAGGCTAGCCCAATCGATTTTTAAACGCAAATTTCCCTCCGTACATAGGCCCCTCCAAAAATAAGCCCCTCAAAAATGGCCTTTGAAAAATATAAGTCCCGGTGCTTATTTTCGGAATTTTACAGTATACTCTTTGAGAAACTTACGTGAACTGGTCAGAGGGTCCACAACTGAGGGTTCTCAAATCCCGCCTTCCCGCTTGTTTTTTCTTCTTAATCCCAATATCCCGCCCTTTTTTACGCCCGAATCCCGATAATGATTAGTCACATCAGGCTTCAAAAACAGCATAGCATGGGGCAGTCTTAGTACTGATTAAAGATATGTAAGGCATGGGTAAGGAGTCAATTACGTTGAGCATGGAATTGGCTAAAACCAGAAACTCATAAGGGGTTGAACAACCCTTATGAGTTTCTGCTAAAACTCAATGTTACGAGTTCGAATGTTTTGAGGATAATTATTCACTGACAATCAGCACACAGGGATGTCGGATTAACACAAGGAAGTTTAATACCAAAGGAACATAGCCTTTACAGAGCTTTAAAACACAGCATCCGCGAACACAAACTTGACTTGAACTTAAGTAAAACTAAACAGCCTCTGCCAATAATAACAAACTCTCACTTGAACTTCAGTTATCTTACGGCTTCCGTCAACTTGTAGACACAGAACTTGAAAATCGACCGTTCGTCACACTTGACTAAACACAGCAGTCCAGCCCGTGGGGAAAAAAGTAGTTCGTCGAGAGAACTCGCTTGGAACTTGTACACCGTTTGACATAAGGTTCTAGAAAATACTAAACAGGCGAATAGTACTAGCTTTTCGACATATTTTATGATTTCAGTAACTGATGCAAATCTGCTAACTCATACTGAAATGTAAACATGCCGTCATTAATTATTCATGAATAATCCAAAAACGTAGAGAACGTTCGAGAAAGTCACGCAACGCATGAAAGCAATTTTACTATGTAACCTTCAACAAAGACAAAATGTCTTTGTGCAGCATTTTGTAATTTTAAATTCATCATAAAACTGTTCGAAAGGAGGGCTCACTCGTGAAATGTTTCTCAATACTCGAAGAGAAATTTCGTGTCTCTGCGCGGCCACGTAATATCCTCTATTTATTCCTGGGGTAAATTAAAGGCTAAACTCGAAGTGATCTCAAGATATCACGAAAAAGTCCGGTCTCATTTCGTGAAATAGCCGAAAGAAGCCGAAACGTCACGAAGTTGCACGCCCAATCTTGTCCCGAAACTAGTGCATCATTTTATAACTATTTTTCATAGCCCTAACTATCCCTCAACTTATATTAGAGTCTCCCTCTGATCTGACGGGTCACACAGATCATTCAGATGAGTCGGTTCAAACCCCGGGCAGGCCAAAATAATAATTCTTTTTTCCTCGAAAAAGTTAAAGAATAAATCAAAGAAATCGAAGTGATCTTGAGATATCGCAAACTAATTCGGCTCTCACTTCGTCAAATAGCCGAATAAAACCAAAAACCTACAGACTTTGCGCGCCCAATCTTGTCAAAAAAAGTCAACTTTGATACATTCCTGAGCGTCGCAAATCCGAAGTAATAATAGAAAATTCGAAACCGCAACCGGAAAAGAAAACTTTTATCTCTAGCTCTGTGTCTTAGGCAGAAAGCACCGATAAGCACTGAAACATGACATAACATTATTGGCTGTGTAATACTCCAAAATCGAAATTGCTAAAGAGAAAATCGAGTTTGGATGTGCTTCTCGCAAGCCTGTGACAGAAAATCTAAGGTGAAAAGCACACCAATATTAGCACAAACCGGAAATTGTATAAGTTTGTTCTGTTGTTGTGCGGCCATATGAATCCGGGACGAATACTTTAGTACTTAATATCCTGTAGTACTAAGTAGCGTAACATAAGCACTGGAAAAAAAATTAGCAACCTTTGCCTATAAATTTAACCAAACGCACCGTTTCACGCACAGCTATGAAGCCCTGCTCTCCACACATTTTAACATAATTTTACCCACAGCATTATGACGCCGCATAAGAAATAAAACCACTCATCTGTACAGTTTTTTCCACGTTTAACGCTGTCTTGCGCGTTTATTATTTTCAGGATATTTATTATCGAAAGGAAGCTGGATTTTGTTTCCTTTATAACGATAAACATCTTCAAAGACGACGAAAATTTGTTGCCGAACGTGACTTTCCCACACTAAACTCTTACACTGGTCAAGTTTAATGTCTGAAGGCCCGTTTACACGACCCAAAAAAAATGGAACGGCTCGGATAAAAAGACGAACGGCTCCGACAAAATTTGACGTGTAAACGGTACTTGACCCGTTCCAGTTGTATCCGTTCCGTTCCTTAAAAGGTCCATAGGCGGCTATGGACCCCTTTCGGAACGGAACCGATAAGAAACGGTTCCTTACCCACATTTTTGTTTTCTTTTCAACGTGTAAACGCTCGCTCTTTTTTTCGGTACCGTTCTGTTACGTTTTTTCTGAGCCCGTGGTGCTCCAGGACAGTTGTTTAGCGTACGTCACATGCGTGTTAGAAGAAGAAACTGGAAAGTGTTCTTAGATACTCGAAAGCTAGCATACCATTGATCGTCAGAGTAAGTGCTGTATGCAAGATCAAACCAAGCGCTTGTTCTTGGAATTTGCCGCAAGCTCCTTTCGACTGTGAAGTGCGATACAAGGGCTGTTAATAGGAGAACCTTAAGCCTTGTTTTTCAGTCCTATAAATTCGGTACATTCTCTCAGGGGGTTTTACATGAGAAAACTCTCACCGGCGCGAGTTTCATACCAGGATAACTTTTTGATTTCGTATCGCGTTTACATGATGACTGGGCCATTTCATATCTCGTTATTTGAAGGTACACTTCATGTTGATAAAATGCACATGTGATTCCAAGTCGCAAACATTACGCATGCAAAACCCTTTACAGTCTACCGGCAGACCGATTTCACACCGAAACGGGTGGTCGTTTCGCGTTTACATGATACCGTTGGGAGATTTCGTACCGGAGTGAAATTCTTGCCCCAGTACAACAACCGGGGTGAACTCACGCCGGGGTGACTCGCGCCGGCAGGACATTTTGTGGTGGTATCATGTAAACAATTATATAGAGCAATGAGAGGGAACCGGAATGAACTCGCTCCAGGGTAAAAGTCGCCCCGGTGTCATGTAAACATCTTATCAGAAGCACTTCTTTGAAGAATCGCACGCGCAGTCAAACGTGAATTTCGTGTTCTCTTCTTTAGAAGAAACCAGAAAAGTGCTTATAAACCTGCATCAATGATTGTCGGAGATACGCACAGTCTACTGTTTGTGTAAGTGCATATGAACAACTAATCGAAGCAGTTTTATTTCATTATCACGGGCTCTATCGTTACCGGTCTCGAAGAAAACAACGTGTAAACAGTCTAGTACCCGTTACAAGGGGCTCTCAAGTACCGTGCCTTTTTCTGTCGAGCACATTACAGAATTCGTACGTGTAAACAGGAGATTTCGTCTGGAACCGGTACTTGTTTCTAACCGAGCCGTTCCTTCTCTTTTAACGTGTAAACGGGCCTTGAGTCACAGTAGAAAGCCCTATTTCCGTCATAAATCTAAATTTCAATTTTAGAAAAAAAAATTCAAATACGTACTAAAGATATAATTTATACTTTTTCCATTCTAACAATTAAATCTTTCATTTAAACTGGAAATAATGTGAAAAACTAATAATTCCAATTAATCCTAGTCATTAAAAAACTTATGAGCTCGCTTTGCTCGCGGAAAAAAGGCAGAAAAATTATGGAAATAAGTACTTTGGGATTCAGCCACAAAGCATATTATTATAACTACTACATATACAAACACTTTTACAACACAAAGGGACATTCCCTCCCTCAATCAATTGAAGATTTGAGGAAAATAAAAAAGACAAAAAAACTAAATTGAAAAAAAGAGTTTAAAGACTATAAAAGCAACAAGAAAACTGATTGATGAAACAATGGGAATAGAAAGCAAAGAAAAATAAAATATTTTCCGGTAAATAGGACTTTTATGTCTTCTCTTTTATGCCTGGTGTTTTTATGGCCAAGTGGTACTGGGTAATGGGTACTGGGGAGGAGTCAACTGTAATTACGGAACCCCCCTCTATGCTGGAGTGAAAGCTTCATGAATTGTTGTCTAGTATTTTCAAGTATAGCAGAGTGTGCTGAATGTGCTTCGCTTAAAGCAATTCTTGCAAGAATACGAGGTGCTGTATATGATGCATGGTCTTCCAGCAGAGTTCGACCATCAGAATCCGACATGTGGAATTCTTGATTGATTTGCAACATTCCGTTCATCAAAGAGGCTGTAGTTTGGGTAGCAGTGTTCTTCTCTTTCTCCTTATGCATCAGTCAATTCCACCTGCGCCCAGGCCCCCCCCGGGCTGACCCCCGGGCATTAGCATTTTTTTTGCCTTGGATGGCAAATTCCCGGGGGTGGGGACTCTTGAGCTGTCAAATTCCCCGGGGTGGGGACGAAAAAAGAGAGCAAATGCCCCGTCCTCCGTCAAAACTGCAACATTTTTCATTGATCGCACAGACAAATAGTGCCGTTTTAAGCATTTTAATGTGCGATTTTTTTGGTTTAATTAACGTCTTCCTTTGTAATAGCGCGAGGATTCTAATTAAGACTTCACGCCGCGACGGCTTGCACCAGTTTTAATATGGTTTTAGTATTGGTATAAAATTATTGACATTAAAATTAATAGAGCGCTGTAAAGTTATATGTTATGAATAGTTTTATAAATAAGAAAGGATGTTCTTCAAATAATATCAACAGAAATTTGATTCAATAACCAAAAAACGTTGATTCACATCGATAGCTCCAATTTCGCTACGTAATGCTAGCTTGATAAGCAATGAAGAAATGCATACATACATTTTAAATCGAGAACATGCCTTTACAACCCTCTACAATTTATTTCCGTCCTTGACAAATGAGCCAATCTGCTTTTCTTCCAGTAAAACCTTATATTCTGATAGGAAACCGCGTGCGTGTCAAAAGCTCGGGATTGGCCCGGGGGTTCGCAAATGCCCGGCCCCCAGGCAGTGCAACATTTGCAAATGCCCCACTCCCGGGACTGACAAGGCGGGCAAATGCCCCGCAGTTGCCCGGGGGGGGGGCTGGGCGCAGGTGGAATTGACTGATGCATTAGTCGTAATTTGAAATGTAATGTTGCCAGTGTCATAGAATCCTAATAGTACTGCCTTCTCGTGGATATCAAACTGAACAACTCTTCGTCCTTCATTGTCTTTGAATCTGACAATGTTGCTAACACCAGTGCTGCAATACAACGTAGAGTAAAGACGTTTAGGGAATCAATTATTAGCAATAATTATAGCCCACAGTTTTTAAATCAAATCCACAACAGGTTGCCTTAGGTCATGTCATGACTGAAATGTTGAAATTCATAACCACAAAAATTCTTCATATGCAGTCACGCATTTCAAATTCGGGTCACTAAAATTTTGTTTTTCTGTCGAACTCGCACTAGGGACAGAAGCAGGCTAAACTCGCACCTGCACCGTGGCTTTTGAAAACCAAAGGACATAAGCAAAATCAGTGATATTAAAAACAAGTTGGGCAAGTAGTACACGAAAGATACCTCGCGACTATAGAAAGGAGTACTGAAATAATTTGATGAAGGAACCAAAACTGAGACGTACCATAATGGATGGATTTTAAGGTAAAATTCAGGATCGTCGAACATTTTCTGGAACACATCTGACCGCTTGGCTGGTATATGAATTTTCTTGGTCAAACTGAGCGTGTTAACCTGTAGCTCCTTGTAGGTAAAATATCCAAAAACCGCCACTAAACATGACAATATAATCAACTTTGCAGCCGCCATGCTCCAGCGGGCCGTGGGAGAGAGCATCCAGTCTCCACGCAGATTCTTTTATACCTCGGCGCGATGTTCGGTGCAATTAACATGATTAATACAACTTGTTTACCCTCCCCACCTCCCCTACTAAATGAGGCTGAGTAGGATATCGTAAAATTCCGAAATAAGCCCCTCCATGTATAAGCCCCTCCAAATATAAGCCCCCCTCCCCCCCAAACTCGTAACGCAAAAAACCCTCCGGTAAATCGCCCCTCCAAACGGTCAGTTAAAACACGGACTGCGGACTGGGTATAAAATACGGACTAGGTATAAAACGCGGACTAGAAAATATGGAGTGGGTATAAAACGCGGACAAGGTATAAAACGAGGACTGCGGACTGCGGACTGGGTATAAAATACGGACTACGGACTACTTTGGTAAAAACCGTGCAAACCGTGGTTCTAGGTAAGGAAAAATAAGATCAAAAGATCGCTAAATAGCAAGACACGTGAGTTTATGAATTCTTGGTGGAGGTGTCCCGCCCGGTTCTCTGAATCATGAGCCGGATCAAAATGCTATTTTCTTCACCCATTTTTAGACCTTGTATTGGTCTCTAACAATCATGAAAGGGGTCAGGATCAGGGGTGTTACTCCCTTCTATAATGGAAGGGTAGGGGGTTTGGGCCTTTTTGGTCTGAAAACACTTTGCCCATTTTGGTGTGGAATCGGGTATGGTTTTCGAGGGAACTACGGGAGCGTACATGAATGGACGTATTTATCGTTTCAATTCCAAATGAATGAGAACGAAATAGAAATGTGCGAATTCGAAATGCATTTGGAGAATTTTTTTGTTTCCGCTCTAACTTGGTAATAATGACAAAATTTCTGCCTTATTAGACCTAACCTGTTCAAGGCTCTGAGATAGTTGGGTCCGCTGAACTGAGAAAGCGAAAACACGAAAATAAAAGGGGAGAAAACTGGGGAGTCTCCCCAACTATCTGAGAACCTGGAACAGGCTAAATTAGGCCAGGTCCGAAAATGGGTATGGATTTTAAAGATCTAGTCTGAAAACAGGTGTGGAAAATGACAATTTTTTGGTCTCCAATAAGGTCAGGATTCGGAGAACCGGGCACTACACCTCCACCAAGAATTCCCAGTAGTACCCGCTTCCGGGTATCAGGAGCAGGGTGTAAATCATGTCATCATAATCATCGCTTAGAACATAACGTTGGATGACTCATTTCGGTTATTATTCATGTATGTGAGTAATCCCTCGCACCTAAATACTGCTTTTGTGCATCGCATTGACTTGCTCGTCTGAGTTCTTCATTCAGTCCTCATATTCCCAAGGCTTTATTTGAAACGGAATAGTGGCATCCGATAAGAATTTTACTGATCTGACAAACACCAATACTATTGTTTTTAATTCGGTGCTTCTTATTGGTGTAAAACTGCAAATTGAAATCTCTTCAAACTCCTTCTTTTTAAAAATTCAGAGTTTAATTTCAGTTGCCTTGATTACCGGCATAACCTTCCTTCTCCGTGGGAAGAATAGACTACGTGAACAGCGTTAAAGCTGGGACTACTGTTTTTGCTAGTCCGCTTTCTATTTCTCTCAGTTTTACCTTCTAAAGCTGTTTTTATATACATAGTCCGTAGTCCGCGTTTTATACCTAGTCCGTGTTTTATACTCAGTCCGGAGTCCACATTTTATACCTAGTCCCCTTTTTATACCCAGTCCGCAGTCCGTGTTTTATACTGACCGCCCCTCCAAATATAAGCCCCCCCCGGGGGGCTTGTACTTGGAAATTGCCCTCAAATACAAAGTAAAACAAGGGAAACACGGTAAATTTCCTTCCAAATATAAGGCTAGCCCAATAAACTTTGAAACGGAATTTTCCCTATATAAGCCCCTCAAAAGGGCTTTCGGAATTTTACGGTATACACCGAGGCTGGATAACACCCTCCGAGATCTGCAGAATTCTTCATATCCTACGTATACGAAAGCCGAATTCAATAATTGCTTCATTATTCATTCAAAATCATTCTAAGTTTAAAAACAAGCTAAAACACGATTACCTCCATCGATCGATGTTAGTGCATCTCTATCGGGAAGTTTGTATTGGGAGATAAAGGGCTGTTCTGGTCGCAAATAAAGGAGATGTCGTCCGTCGAGTTGTCTTCTTGCTGTTGTTTTTGCTATGTGTTTAGACAAAAGTTCGCCGTAAAACGAGTAAAAAGTTCCGCCATTACTCACTCCGAAAACAACTCAAACTCGTCCCCAGGTCTTCCCGGTTAACAATTCAATAATCTGCAACTTTGCTGCACTCTTGACGTCATCGTTTCTATATGGCAAAAATCTTCCAAATTAAGGGCCTGTTTACATGGAGATGGGGGACCCCAGATAGGTGAGGTAACCCGCTTAGGTGGGGGTAACCCACCTGTCCATACAATCTCTCATTTTAATTTGATCACGTTTACATGATAGGTGGGGTGACCCGCCACATGTCACCTCACCTATCTGGGGTCCTCCACCTCCATGTAAACAGGCCCTTAGTCAACAGTAGCTGGTTATGATAAATTATGCGTGTGATTTTACCCAATCAGAAGCCGAGAAATATTTCGAATGAATAATAAGTATGTGTAATCAAATGGTGACGAGTGAAATTAGGGAATTTCACTAGTATACCATTTGATTACCTATTAATTAATTACGTTTGCAATCTTGGATTTTTGACATGTTTATCTTGGATCGTATCGATAGAGAACTCCTGCACTCTCTCGAACGTTTAGAGTTTAAATTTGGCTTAAGTTCAGAGTTTTTCGACAAAAATACCTGTTAGAATCTTCTTGATGTGCTCTTTCGTGTATTCAGGTTTTCTAAAGCGTCTTTTTGTGCCGTGACATCTTCATTCATGACATTTTAAAACTTCGTCGCCATCTTGACACTGAGACGTACGGAAGGTTGCCATGGCAATTTTGTAATTTCACATGTGAAATTACAAATTAACGCAGAAATTTCGCGCCAAAATTAAGCAGTAATTCGTCACCTACGATATTATATCGGTTAACAAGTCGTATTAGCGGACAATCGAAAATGGACAATGGTGTGTCTAGCGCCTTAACGCAGAAGCCTCGTTGTCGCTTAGTGTGAACCATGGAGGTGTGCCGTCAAAGTGTGTGGTATCAACAGTTTTAATTAGTAACATTAATCAAATTATAGAATTTTGAAATTTAGTTAATTCCGTATGAATGAAACAGGATTTGTTTCAATGCCTCTATAATTAAACGACGAAAAAGAGCATTCCCGGGAACAGGCTGATTGCGTTTAATACCCAGCTTGTTGCCGTTGGAGCGTAAACGTTCTCCTTTCTAATGAAAAAGGTACTGTACATTGCTTGATATTTTGCCTTCATTCCACTTTCCTGTACTCTCTCTTATACTCTTTTGTCTCTATTCATACCACCCACTCGTCAAAGACTCGTGTCATGCATTGACGATCTTAAAAAAAAGTCCTCTGGGAGGATATGAGCTTACTGACAATGAATCTCTGTACGAAAAAAGAAAGGGCAATGACGGGTACCTATGGTCCGAAGCATAAACGTTTAACGCCGTGTGCTACGAGGACTATTATTTTCCAAAGAGAGAATTTACATTATTTAATAGTTTGTTTCACTCATAGTGTACCTTGTTTCTTTAACACGCTTGTTTTCTATTGCCAATATGTCTGCTGTGTGCGTTATCTTTAGAAAACGTATGTAACGACACATCGCGACAAGTGAGAACCCTCTGAGTGACAACGGACCAAATGATGTAGTACATTTATTCTCAAAGATAAACTTTATTTAAGATGAGAACGACATTTCATTTTTGCACACAAATGATCAACAATAACAACAACAACAAAAACAAACAAACAAAGCACATAAGATAACACTTTCTGAGTCATTATTTAGCTGTGTTGACACTGAACTTTGATTCAATCCTTGAAAATTCAACTCCTGAAAAATTCGCAAACATTTGAAGAATTGAACAAGATGGAACAAGCGCGATTAAGTTTGAAGTAGCGCGAACACACTTTTAAACTGACGTTTTCGGAGCCGTCGTTGTTGCTTAAGCTCCCTAATAACCCCACTCTGTTGCATGGAGAACGTGAAGCCTATTTCGGGGCGGAGACTTTCTAGTAAATACACTAACCGGCGCAGCTGGCTGAATTGTTGTGCCCGAGGTGCTTTCTAGCTGAGCTGCCATGCGAAGCGAGGGGCGAAGCCGCACGGAAAACTTCAACCTGACCTCTCAATAGGGAGCTTAGGCAACGACGGCGGCGACGGCAACGTGAACGGCAAAAAAGGATTAAGGTTTGATTAGCAAAACAACAACTCTGCACGTACATCACACTTTTTGCACGTACATCACACTTTTCTTTGCCGGCACTGCACGACTACGACGGAAAAATGCCTACTATCACGTTTTGTGGAGGACGTGAACGTAAGGCAAGGACTTTCTTTTTTTTCCGCTCAACTTCGATACAGTCCTTTAGAAATGAAAGCCAAAAAAAACTCTCCAACATTGTACGAATTGAACAAAATGGAATAAGCGCGATAAAACCAAAAAAGGCAGCGCAAATTCCCATTTTAAATAACGTTTCGTAGCCGTCGACGTCTCCGTCGTTGTACAAAAATAAAATAAAATAAACTAAAGCACTGTCTCGCTAGCCCCACCAGCTTCGCATGCTGAAATACAGTTATCGGCGAACAGCTAATAGACGAACTACAATGACAGGCTTAGATAGTAAGTAGTTAGTTTACAGAAATTAAGTAAATCTAACAAGATTCCTAAACACTAATCTATACCACGCGATGATAGAAAACTAGGAAAAAATTAGAATAACTAGGAAAAAAGGCCTTGCTGCCACGAATAATCAAATCTTACTGATTTTGAGAGAAACAAGAGAAAATTAATTTTAAACAAAACATAAATACGGTAACAAACCAGTCAAAAGTACATGCAGCTACCAACTGAAAATAAAAACGGATGTTTCATTATTGTCTCTACAGATTTACGATCTACCTTACGTAAGCTACATAATTATAAAGAGCAACCAACACTTACTTTGAAATGTACGAAGTTCCTAAGACAGCCGACTGTATATCGATAAAAAAAAGCAAGTGTACTTCACTGCCTCAACTCTGCGTCTAACAGAGTGAAAAAAAAAGACTTTGCGAAGTCTAGGAGTCCATACAACGGGACCCTTGGCAAAAAGATCTACTGATCTACACAGGATAAGAGTGGTTTCGCTGCACTGGTCGACCGTGTAGTCGCCCGCCGGTGCAACTCCATGGTAACAGGTTTACCGTCTTGGACGATTTTAACTTTACTGTACTGATGTCGATTTGATAGTAAGTCAAGATTCAACAAACTCTATTCTCCGCGATTGAAGATACCCACCTTGTAGAGACTCTGCATTGATTATCGCTCGGTATCTACATCCCAGGAAGACCTATCATGCAGATAATTACGTCACTGAGAGAAATCATTTTTGAACGTTGTTCATTCTTGTGAAAAAAAAACCTATCAAAGAAAAGTTTAAATCAAGCTGTCTCAGCGTGCTCTTGTTGTAAACGTTTGTTTTCTTACATCTCTTCGTTCCCCCGCCCGAACACTTGTTTATTTGTTTCGCGGCTATAATATCATGATCAACTCATTCCCTTCCCTCTCTTAATTCATGAACCTTTTAATGTGCTTTCTTTTATTTCTTTTTCTAGTACTGATCCAATCGATTTTATTTTTGTTCTTCCTGATCGCCTTTATCCTGTTGCTTTCAATTCAGATTCTTCTATGATTCCACGGTATCAGCAGTTCTGATATTTGGCCCACTCTGCTACAAACACTTGACATTTATTTTTCACATCTCTGCTTTTCTCTTTCTTGCTTCCTTCGGCAATGGGCTCCTTTATTCCTGAACTTAAGCCATGCGTCGCACTTTCATCTTTATTCGTTAATATGCATCAGGCTTCGTCGGTTTTCTCTTTTAAAAACAGTTAACGGAAGCGCCGCTTTTCTCTCACAAATTTTTTGGGGCACCAGTGAAGCTGATAAAATAGTTACTCTATTTAAGAAACAGTTTGCCAATCTTTAAGTGGTTGGCTCGGCCCCACGACGTCTAAGCAGATCCATTTTTGGCCAAAGCACAAAAGCACGATAGGAGTCAGAGCCTGGAGAGGAGTTGTGTTTCTTCCAGTCCGTGATTTTTCTTTTTTTTTGTTGTTGTTAACAACCACACGCAATACTCCAACCACGCAGATGCAATAGTTATAGAAAGGCGTTTCCTTGTGGTAGGTAACACCATTCCTCAATCTGATAAAGCTGTACATTATCCCACGAAGATGATGCTTTTGCCTTCATTCCGGTTTAATGCATCAGTAATACGGCCGTTAAATATCTTAAATTTAATCTGCTGACGATGTGTAATACAACTGTTTTATTTTATAAACGTTGCTCTTCAGTGATACGCCAAATAATTCCTCTGTTCAGTCACAACATTCAACTGAATTGACAGCGCGTCTCTTATTCCGGCAACTGGTATTTCATCATCAATTACTAAAGGTATCCAACCTACTGATGAGCTTGTTTGACGAACAGCTCTTTTCCAACCATTTACTTTTCTTCACGGGCTCTCTTTTGTCAGCGCCGTAACACAGAAGCGACGAGATGGTCCGCAAAAACAGCATGGCATTAACGATTAATCGATCTGATCCGACGAAACTCAAATCCACGTGCGGTTAATATTTTAAAAACTAAGAAAAAGCTTTAACTCAGCGAAAAAAAATGCTGTCCCCTCTTCGCTTTTCCCTTGTTACCTGTAAGACCACAGCCGGGCCTACTGTCTTATCTCCTAGTCTCATATCAAGATCATAAGAAGACCTGCAAAAACGTGCGGTCACACGTACTGGTAATCGGCTGCTCTTTTTATTGCAGCATTAGTAGCTACCTCAGCTTTAAAATCCTTCTTACGGCAACAACTTAAAACACGCACAAGCATAAAAGCGGAATGATGTGCATTGACATGTATATAGAAACTACTATAGCCTTAAACCCTTTTTACGCCAACAACTTTTAACTCATGTAAGCATAACAGGAAGAGGCCAAACAAAATTCTACGAAAGAAAAGTATACTCTTCACTGATCTGTTGCTAAATCTAAGTCACGCAAAGCAGAGAAAAACTCTTGAGCATTCACACATGCAGGGCCTTGCCTTCCTGTTCATCCAGCAAAAACTGCAATAAAAAGTATGAAGGGAAGTCTACAGCCAATTTAATGAGCTAAAACGCTCAGAAACAACAGCGTAACTTTCCTCTGCATGTGTTGTGATTTCCGTTCACCTTCTTTTAAGTTAAAAATAATAAACTCCTCTTCTGATAGGCAAAAATATTCTCTGTCCTCTCACGTACTTTGCATTTATTTCCATTTCCAAAACCTTAAGAAATTAACCTTCTGCAGACTCATGGGTACATGAAAGTCTCCACGACTAGTATAGCCACATTCTGTGACGGAGCGGAGTACAATCTACCGTGTTATCTTTATCAACACTCAGTTTACTGCGACAGGAAAAGGATCTTTTCTTCATTAAAGTGCACGCTTCTGAATCGTCTGAATTCGCCCTGTTTCGAAATACATTCTCGATTTCATTGTGAGCCCCTCATCTCAAAATTTTCTTTACTTAAAATGTCTCTCAACGACGCAAGTGTTAGCCTCTCTTTAACACGCCTCTCATTTTCGTCGACGCTTTCCAAATAGATTCTTTGGCACCAAAAAGGCAGCTAGAAAACGCTTCTTTCACTAAGGATGACTTCATATCAACATCATTTCTTCTCTGCTGACTTGTCCATCTGTGCAAACGTCTTCGTTTCATGCTGCACGAATCGGACCAATCGATGAGCATCTTCTAAAAACTGGGAGCACAGCCGATAAAAGGAAAATCTATCCAACCAAAGACTAAGCATATCTTTTCCTTAAAACAGTTTCCCTTCAGTAGCACATTAAGATTATCACGATAGATAAATAAATTTTATAACCCACTAATAATTTCATACGAAATCTTTCCTGAAGTAAGAATTGAGAATTCCTTCATTATCCGCGAAGTTGTAAACAACAAGAGCAGCCGAGATTCGCCACTGAAATGAAATACAAAATGCCACGCCTGCCTTGACACGACACTAAAACACAGTTTACAAACATAAACACATTACCTTCCTTCATTACAGCAGAAAGGACTGGAACTAAGCCACTGATGAAGTCAATGAGCCGTTCGGGGTCGTCCAATCGCATTGAAGGAATTGCCTGCCTCGGAAAAACATGGACAGGCTTGAAAGAAAAATGATCTGGTCACCATTTTCTGCAAGTATAGCGAAAGGCGACGAAAATAAAGACAACAGCACATAGAAGCAGGCGTGGCTAATGCACCACGACGAATTTCGGGTCATGGGATAACGTAGTTACAATCGCTGATCTAGGTATTTGAGAATGCGTCTCTTTAATCTTTTGGTGCCAATAGCTTGCGTTGCGAACTTTTTTCGCATAATAGTAGCTCTTCCTTAGACCTTGGGGTAAAAATCGAAGTATAAGTGCTTGAGGATCGTGACTCTTGAAAAGGCAGTGAAGATATAAAGTGGAATCTAAGTCACACAAAATTATAAAAGAGAAACCATGAACTTATCAATGCATTTTGAATCAATGATCAGTTAGTCAATGCTGGTTGCTCCTTACCTTATAAATAATACTACTTGTAATTTCCTCCTTACCTAACTTTTTTTGACCAATAGTTTCCTTGAGAATGAAGTTAAGTTACTCGAAGTTACTACTCAGGGCCCGGTTCCTGAAAGGCCGATTAGCGTTAATCCAGGATTAAAATTTTGTTCCGTTTCGGTATTTTACATTCCTACGCATTGCTTAGGGTAACATTTTGTGTTATCATAACTGTATCTCGTAGTAAAGGCTCAATAGTATTTTGCAACCTCGAGTTGCATGTTCTGAGACGAGAAAAGCGTGTTTGAAATTTGGCTCAATCCTGGGTTAAACTTAACCATCTTTCGAGTAACCGGGCCCAGTACCACAAACATAAATTCTTTTTAAACATAACCAGAGCTGAGGCGCAGGTGTTAAAAGCAGCAGTGTATTTCTGACGATCGAATCTGCAGGTCTGTGACGAGCAATCAAACCGATGCTGCTATGGGACAACAAGTAACCCTTTTTAGCGAAAGGGTTTAAACTGAAACAAGTTAGTGTATATCTGCATCTCAGCAATGGACTCGGCCAGTAACACGCTCTCAATTAAGAAGCATACAAGCCAAGTATCGGAAAGCGTGCACCTTCATTCTTACCGATCAGAAACAAAAACGACAAGAAAAACACAAAACAAGGTAGAACAACTATGGAAAAGCGATAACAATTTTGCACTTTCTGGCACTTGAACAAACCATTTCCTCACGACAAACTCTGCTTGCTTGGCGTCTTGCTAAAATTAGCTGCCAACTTGACTTTAGGAGCGGTAGACTTTTTAGCTCGCACTTTCTTTTCCTCTTCATCAGAGCTCTTGCCTTGAGCAAGAGGCTTGTTAGCGGCTACTCCTGTGAATGTCGCTGCAAGTTTCCTTGGCAACACAGGTTCTGAATGGCTGTAGGCCAGGATGTCTGCTTCAACTTCAGCGTGCAGCATTACTCCAGGTTTTACAGGCGCTGGCCTCACAGGTGCAACATCATCTCCATAACCAGTAGGTGAATAGGGCAACTCCAGATCCTTCAAGTCGGATTCCAGTGCAGGGCATCGGTTAGGTAAAGGGATTTTCGATGGTGACTTAGAGCCGTTGTATTCACCAGAGAGCTGGTTAGACTCTGCCAAAAGCTCTGTCAAGTCACCTGTTGGACCAGTACTGAGCTCATTAGGCAGACCCATGTTATCTATGGCTTCAAACAGCACATCCATGTCAAACTCAGTGAAGGATATAAGATCCCCAACAGGAGGAGGCTCGGGAATGGCAGGCTGCAAGTCAGGTTCTGGTAGGGATTCTGGCACGGGCGCCATCAACCAATCATCTGCCAGTGTCTGGTCAGTAAATGTCCCGGATGAAGGTTCACCATCAAGAACAATCAAATCTGAATCAAATAAGATGATAAAATAAATACATAACAATAATATTATAGCGTAACACCCTGTAATTTCCATTGCGGCCCAGAAATTTCGCTGGACAAACTAGACACCTCGTCATTCCGAAAACACACTAATACGGACCAAACTAAAAGGACATTCACGGCGGAACAAATTCCTGTTCTAACTTTCCTTACGACATCATCACGGACACCCGCTATTACGGACGACAGGCGCAGGATCGTTATTACGAACATTGAACGCCATGTTTTAACATTTACACACAACTCGTGCATACGCGAAGCTTGGGAACAGGTTTTTGCGGCACTTAGATACATTATATCTCTCACTCATTATGGTATAGATTAGTTAATATCTATTACCTATTTTTCTCTGTTTAATTGATGTTGTTATACTTAAACTTGATATTACTCTCATGAATCGGTTTATAACTTCGGCTTAAGTAAAAGAACAAGCCAGAACAAGTTGTGAGATATTCATATAATTATCCCACCCTACCTTCTCCATCTTTGTCGTCGATGGTGACCACAATTTCATCATCTGCAAAAAACAGAATGCAATGAAAACGTTTCTTTTTAGAATGAGGCCGAACAAGTCTTCACTTAGCCTGCAGTGCGGGCGTGTTTTGGGTGGGCGAAAGCTTGTTCATGTTCGTATTGTTGTAGCCGCCGTCTTTGATTTTATGACTGAGGAAGATTGGGGAGAGTTGAAATAGTAACTCTTAGGGTAGGTGCGGGGGCGAAAAAAGGAAGGGGGAGAGGTTAGGGTGAGGGGGAGGGGAGAAAAAAATGCTTTTCTTCTTCGTTTTCTCTTCTCTCTCCCCACCCCCTCTCCGCTCCCTTTGATTCGCCCCATTTCCTCCTCTCTTCGGGAGTTTCATCATGGCGTTTTCGCGGGCGAAAATATTCGCGCGCCCGAAGAAAACGCCTGCATTGCCGGCTAATCTTCACTTTTGGTGTTTACAGTTGTCTACAGTTTCCGAAACTATAGCACTAAGTAAGAAAAGCAATAATTCTGAAGGCCAGATACAAAGTACTGTTTTCTTGATGCAAGAAGTCACGTTTCATTTTCTCTTCGACGCTATAGTAATCTACGTGCTAAATGACATGAAGGTGAAGCGTACCTTAAGGCGTCAGACAAATAAGCGTCATCTTGCGCGTTGAAAATTTTTTCTTCCATGCAAGAAATCACGCTTTACTTTCTTCGACAACACAGGTTACGTTTCATTCTTATATGAGACGGCAAGACGTTAAAATTGCAAGTGCACAACACACATAACAGCATTAAAACTGCAAACACGAGCTCTCTCTAAAGCTTTTTTTTTTTATCCGCGAAGCAGGTTTTGCGAAAGGGACTCACAGCTGTACACCAAGAAACTCTTGCAAACCTCTGGAGACATGTTGACACTGGGAAGAGTCTTTTAAAAACCCACCTTCTTCTACAACAGCGGGCGATGCCGTGCCAGAGTTTCTGGTATCATATTTCTGGGACTGAGGCAGAGTACTTTCTACTCCGCTTTGCTGTCTCTCTGTTCCTAACAAAGGCAAAAAATATCATAAAAAAGAAATGTAAAGTAAATCAATTAATCAATGAATAGCGGTTTCAAAAAAGTCGCGTGTCTACTAGTGGTCACTATAGTTTCCTTGCAGCTGCTTCAGTTAAAAACATCGATTCGAGGACCATTAATTCTATTCACATGGTGGCAAAATTCATACACTCAGTATAATCATTTTATGACATATCTCAAAAAAGGCCATTCGCTAGATTGAATAACCTGCGTAGCTGGCGGAATTCAGTGTTTTTGCGCAGGGCTTCGCAGCTCCTCTGCCAAAACTTTGCTCGCGCAAAATAACGATCCCGCTCGCTACGCAGGCTAGAGATCCAAAAATACTCAGGAGAAGCAGAAATTGATGGTGAAAACTCTTAGTTACTGAGATAAGAAAAAAGGTTGAATGGCGTTAGGTTTGCCCGGGATTCAAACGGAATTCCACTCATTAGTTTCTTATCCGTAATTGTACTACAAGTCCTTGCAATTCGATGAAGGTCTGCGGTACATTTGTACAAAGAAGGTGAGGATGATCAGTCTGCATGAGTGTGCAGAAAAGAGATCTCACTCAGATACAACCTTCAATTCATTTGTGATTTACAACTGAAGAAAAACATTACCTTCGACGCCATATAAAGAAACATTGTCTCCATCAACCAGTACAACCATTTTTTCGGCGCCTTTCCCGCGTATCTCAGCCACGTTTGACATGGCGTCGATAACCTCTGATATACGATTAAAGCCATAATCCCCAGCCTTGCAAGGACGACCGTACAACTGCTGANGGTCACTATAGTTTCCTTGCAGCTGCTTCAGTTAAAAACATCGATTCGAGGACCATTAATTCTATTCACATGGTGGCAAAATTCATACACTCAGTATAATCATTTTATGACATTTCTCAAAACAGGCCATTCGCTAGATTGAATAGCCTGCGTAGCTGGCGGAATTCAGTGTTCTTGCGCAGGGCTTCGCAGCTCCTCTGCCAAAACTTTGCTCGCGCAAAATAACGATCCCGCTCGCTACGCAGGCTAGAGATCGAAAAATACTCAGGAGAAGCAGAAATGGATGGTGAAAATTCTTAGTTACTGAGATAAGAAAAAAGGTTGAATGGCGTTAGGTTTGCCCGGGATTCAAACGGAATTCCACTCATTAGTTTCTTATCCGTAATTGTACTACAAGTCCTTGCAATTCGATGAAGGTCTGCGGTACATTTGTACAAAGAAGGTGAGGATGATCAGTCTGCATGAGTGTGCAGAAAAGAGATCTCACTCAGATACAACCTTCAATTCATTTGTGATTTACAACTGAAGAAAAACATTACCTTCGACGCCATATAAAGAAACATTGTCTCCATCAACCAGTACAACCATTTTTTCGGCGCCTTTCCCGCGTATCTCAGCCACGTTTGACATGGCGTCGATAACCTCTGATATACGATTAAAGCCATAATCCCCAGCCTTGCAAGGACGACCGTACAACTGCTGAAAGTTGGGGGCAAACCGGTTTAGTGAGACACATCCACCAAGATGTCTCAGCAGATCTCTTGTCTCAATTGCAAAAGTCTGTAACGGCGTTAAGCGAAGTTTGCTGTCTTTACTGTAAACCTGTTAACAGACGAAAAGAATAAACAGATTAGCCACACATTGTTTCTTTCCATGAATCAATACTTATTGGTAGTGCTGTTTTTCTTTGTGCCGGCAAAAGACTTTTCGCTTTAAATGAAGTTTTAATTGAACAGTTTCTAACGTTTGCTTCGTTTACAAGGTAGTTCTAACACTGAGAAAGAGATATGTAGGTCTAAAGATTTCTTGAACCGCGGCCTAAGTTAGACTTCGTTTAAATAACCGGCCCTATGTGTCTTAAAGGCGCCTACCATTAGTCAGAACAGGCCGCCCAGACCTGTCTAGTCGTCAGGAGAATTTAACTATTAATCCGTTAAACTCTCTATAGCAAGATCTATGTACTCTAAAATGGAGTGCACGACAGTGAGGATTTTTTCTGCGGAACCTCGAAGAAAGCCAATTAATTTTCAAAATTATCGAACTGTCCGGCCAGTTTTGACTTGGGGTGAGTGGCCTTACAGAGTGAGTTCAGTAACGTAGTGATTGTGCAAGATCTAGCAGTATAAGCCAAAATGAACAAAAATGAAACCGTAAAACCAAACACATAGAGGACATGGGAAATACAACCAGACGCAGGTTAATAAAGATTTCGATTAAATATTTTGCCAACCTTTGCAACAGGAGACACTACAGACAACAAATCATCCAGGGAGGCACAGCCAAAGTTCTGAACACAAAGCTTCTGACCGTAAAGTTGTTCATAAGCAGTAGTAAATTTTGACAACAGAATACTGTTATCGGCTTGCCCAGTCAGCACGTTTATCACACGAAGTGAAAACACGTTTAAAAGTTCTTCTTGTTTTACGCAAACGGCGGCCATGTTGCCTGCACCTTGAACCTGTGAAAACAAGATTTCACGCGTGACCACGGTCAGTCATAATATAGGGTGCAAAATAAATGCGATTTTCCAACTTAACAAAAATGTATGGAGTTTTGTGTCATCCCCAAGTAGTTAAAGGATAAAAACAAGTTTGCTTGTTGCCTCCCAACACAAGACTATAGTCCTACCTTTGCCAATGACTAATCAGAATGTTGAAAAGCGAATGAAGTCAAACTTCACAGCGTGCAAAGAAAATCATTTTTACAGCTTGCCCTTCGGGCAAGCTGAAGCTAGCAGTTACTAGCGTTAGCGTTACTAAACGTCATTTCCGCTAGCCCCAAAAGCTTTTTGACGAGCAGAATTGATTTCACAGTTCTTCTGTTATTCGAATTCCTCAAAAAAACATCACTTGACCGTCGGGCAAGTTAAAAACCGAATTAACTAGCCCGATAACAAAATCCACTAGCCCCGGGTTGTCGGACACTACTTTCTTTGCACGCTGCTTCATCGCTAATATCTGTTCACTTTGCCTCATAAGTTCGATAAACCAGTCAAAAGTAGCGTGCGTTTGTCTCTGTTCGCTAAAGCAATCGAACTGAATTGCTTTATTATACTTTACCGTAATTGTGTATACCTTGTTTGCTGTAAGTAAAACTTTGTAAAAATAAACAATTCAACAAAACCTTACAACAACCGAAAGTAATCAACATCAGGGACTCTGAATCTTTATTAGAGCAGTTTCAGTAGAGAAGTGTGAAACCCAAATAAAAGTTTTAGTTATAATTTCAGCTCAGCCGTGATAAAAGAATATGAAACTTGCCATGACACAGTCCCTTAAGGTGATTCCATAGTAAAAGAACCTAACATAGATTATAGCTAAAACTTGGTACACTGATGTAACAAGTCAAGAAGATGATAAAAAAGTAATAAAAAGTGGGGGTCACCGTGCTCGTTTTGACGTCACAATGCTGACAAATACGGCTATTTAGGACCCTTTCACAAAAACCGCGGCCAGCCCAAAACTAGACAAAAAGAAGAGATTTTTTCGATGATGCATGTGGCATCACACAGAATTTGACTTTAATGTATTGTTTATCCACTTATGTACCAGAAAAATACCTTTTAATGCCCTTGTTTTTACTGTACGCTCCAAAGTAGAATTAAATTGGACGCGCGCTTTTCGACCCGTGGTGGCTCAATCCCTTCAATTTAGTAAAATTGCCAAAAAACTGAACATAGATTTGTGCCAATTTTTTTCTCATCGAAAGGAAGCACTTTCCTTATTAAAATCATGAAATAAAAAATGGGGGTCACCGTACTCGTTTTTGCGGTAGAGCTGCAGAAAGTGCGCACCAAACGCATTTTCTCCGATTTTTCGGGGAGGACTGAGGCGAGTTTTAGAATAGAATGTATGTGAAAGGGGGAAGAAAGTATTAAAAAATCCGTTTTTACAGAATTTACATCGAGATATCACATTTAGGACACAATGTGATAAAGAAAGTGTTTAAATTAAAATCAAAGTGCGTAAGCACAAGTTAAACATCCACTATCGAGGTTCTCCGAGAGGAGGTCGAACTCGGCAACACGCGTACTGCTNAAGCAACTTCGGTTAGTTTGCCGACTACATGTAGTTTTCATTCGAACACTCAAATTTTAGGTTTAGACTCGTCCAACGTTTGCAGAAAACATACTGCAGATTCAAGGAAATGGCGTATTCATTTCAATTTTTCTCTCCAAATTGTAAGTATGGGGTAGAATAAAAAAGATGGCAAGTTTCTCTTGTTCACTAACTTTTCTGTAGGCCTTCAGCTTCAATAAGTTACCTTTTTAATACCAAGAGACGTATAATAGTCAACTTTCCCGGAGTTGAAATCACACTTTTAAAGTAGGTGTTCTGCCTGGAACGGATTGCTCATTAAACGTTTCTGGGAAACTGCCCACCTACTCCCCACCCCCTCCCCCGCTAAGCCAACATTTTGCCTTAAGAGAGAAGTAAGTTTTAATGTTGGCTTAGGGGAGGGGTAGGTGGGCAGTTTCCGAGAAACGTATGAGACCCCCTGGAACTTACCTTTAGCTGTAGACAAGGGTAGGAGAAGAATTCTATCATTGCCGGATCCCCTAACCTAAAAGATATAGACTGAGTGAGATTTAAAAATAAACTAAGCAAACAAACAAAAGTACAAAAACAGTACAAACGAAAAGGAACACAAAATGGCAACAAAGACAAACAATAAAAATGAACCATGAACAGTTTCTCTGCACGTTGGGAGAGAGAGAGATGGGCGAAATGAATTTTTCCTCGGCTCACTTTGCTGCCCTCGTTGGTAATCAAGAGCTATCAAGCCTAATTTAGTCACAGGAGATGTTACAATAAAGAAAAAAAGATAATATATTGTCGATAAAACGGCCTTAGAAATAACGATATCTTGGTCCACTTGAGAGAGAGGGAAAGGACTAGGGCAACACCGATTATGGATTACTGCATGTGTAGTGTTAAATCCTTGCAATTTTTTTACATTTATGGATGATCAACATGCCAAAGGCTCGAGCTTAATTGTTGGTGGTAAATGTCCTCTTCTTTAATAGTTCAGACTTTCAATGAAAAACTAAAAATACTCTCTAAGGGCGCTTTCCATTTGTCAGAACTGACCGGCCAAACCATTACCGTCGCAATGAGAATTTTACTTTTAATCAAAATTATTCAGCCACATCAATCAAATCCTAAATAGTATGCACGAAGGAGATGGTTTTTCAGCCAAAATCTTTAGAAAAAGCAGATTTCATTTGCTAACTGACTGGTCCAGCAATGGTCCGGCCGGCCAGTTCTGACAAATGGAAAGCGCCCTATGTCTCTAAAAACTGGCGTCGACATTTACGAAAGGAACATTGGCACTTCGTTTACTTATCCCTAACACAGGCTTCAAGCCTCAAAAAACGATTTTACTAAGGAAAATAAGCACCAAAATTCATTAACTACATGTACCTTTGCAATTCCCTCTAAACTCTTAATAAAGTCCTCAAGCTTCGCCTGGCCAAGAGGAAATTTACGGCCATGATGTTTACGAAAAGTGGCTGCAAGGCGTGAAATGAGTAGAAATTTGCCCTCTTGCAATTCCAACAGTTCTACCACATCTTTGCGTAAAGACTGCAGAGTGACTTTTGGAGGAATCACGAGAAATTTTTCACCACATATCTCTGTGACCTGAAAATAAGGCACGCCCAAAAGGTTATTGGACTTACTTTCAAGCACATGTATGATACTATTAGCTCATTGGTAGTCTGGTAAAGCATCTGGTCCGACTAGTAACCAGTTACCAGTTGTTCAAAAGGTGGATAACACTATCCATCGGATAAATCTCTTTATTATATAAACACCAATGAAATACCAGGTGCGCTTTCGCGCGAAAACTTGATATCTTCACATATGAAAATAACATGTTATCTTCACATGTGAAAATATCACCGGTGCTATGGCTACATGATAAATCGCGCCTTTCACACCAAAAAACTATTAAAGTGAAATGGTTTGGTATTTCATTGGTGTTTATATAATAAATAGAACATTACATGGCCGCTTGGAATACAAAATTTCGTATCTCCAAGCGGCCATGTAATATCCTCTATATTCACTGGATAGCGCAATTGGTTTCCCTAACACTTATCCGCTGGATAGTGATTTCACCAGCGGATATTGCTGTCAACCTTTTAAACAACTGGGGCCAGAAGGTAGCAGGTTCGACTCCTGTTGGAAATACTCGAATTTGTTCTTCCAAGCCGCCTGTTTCAAAGACTGAAAACACATCTTTTTCAAATATTCTTGAAGTACACTACCCTGGAAGCATGGGCATGTGACGAAAAAAGTTGTCCTAGCAACACAACACAACACAACACAACATGTTTGGCCGCAAAACTTTCAAGTTAAGCAGACTGTCGTGAGTAAAGTGTTGATATGCTTTTGATTGGCGCGTTGCGCTTATTATTTAGGAATGATTTTCACTAGTCTTTAAATAAAGTGCATTATTGGAGTCAAAATTTCCACTTTCAAATCAAAAGATCGAAATCTTCCAACTGTGGCTTCATTCGAAATGTACACGTATGTTGATTACTAGACTACGAGCAGCCTCTTTTTTTTTCTTAGTCCTTTGAACAAAACGCGCGAGACACGCAAATGACCTCGCGCGTGACTAAAGGCGCGAGACGGGAGAGGCACGCTGCCGCCCTCGTTTCGCGCGTCTCGCGGCTTTGCCCCTTCCGCGCGCGTGCACTGCTTTCACTAAATCTGAAGAAAAAGAGAGACTGCTCGCAGTCTAGTTGATTACTGAAACATCATAAGCCATGTTGCAGCAAAGATCCTTAGCTGTGATGAAGGTAGATCCTCAACAAGGTCTCCAATGCACCTTGCACTGTTTTCAAAACGATTCCAAGTCTAATCTTGACTGTCTTTCAGTACCTACCGCAAAAGATGGCGTATTTCGCGCGAATAGGGTCTATGTTGCCACAAAGATCCGTACCTGTAATGAAGGTAAATCTTCAACAAGCTCTTCAATACACCTTGCACCATAATCACTGATCTTCAGCAAGCGACCAAAGTGTTGGTAGTATCGAGCAAGCACAGTGGCAACAGGAAGCCGGTGACCGTCAATGCTGGACAATAACTCTTTCAGTTCTTTAGCAAGGTTTTGTTTTTCAGTGCGCTTCTCTGTCTTGCTACTCTTGCCTGTTAAATTCAATTGAACAAATACAAATGTCGGTTCAGTGAAGAAGTACCATAACATAGGTTCTTCCGCTGAAAAAAAAAACAAAAACAAAAAAACACCCACTTCCAATGCATGTTAAATCTCCCTTTCCTTAGCAAAAACAAATATAGGGCAGATAAAAGAAAAATAAAGACTCTTTTTCAATGAACTGCATGAATGCAGGTAATGCTAATTAAGGAGACCGTTTATAAGTGCCTTGCAAGGGGACAGGACCACAATTAAAAGTAAAGGTCCTTATCTTACATCGGTAACTCGTAACAGTACACATTACAGTGACAAACCTGAGGCCGACGGCGCGCTAGTTTTACCGCCCTTTCGTAATCAGTACTCCGTTATACGGGTATTTAAAGCTACATGTACTTAAAACTTCACGAAAAGGAAAGACGACGAAACAAGGATTTAAGGTTACAGCTAAGAATCGAACTCGAAACTTCTCGGACAGAAGGCCTTGCACTAACCGACTGAGCTAATCCTAGCAACTCGAATTTCTCCTTTTTTTTCCTACACGGCCATCCGAGCCAAGCGAGGGTCTATCCATTTCTAAAGCAAAATCAGTACAAGTTTCTTCAGTTATTTTAAGACACTGAGAACTGATCTGGCCCTGGATTCGAGGCCTGACCTCTCACAAAGCAGACTGGTGCTCTAAGCACTGAGCCAGCCGTGCTTTAGGCAAAGAGTTCTGAGTTCAAAGTCAGTGACAAGGATTAAAATAAATATGGTACCTTTTTCCACTAATGAGATGAATCTCTGATCTCCGGTTCCATGGATCTGTCAAAGGGTGGTAAGATACGTTTAGAAAATATCATATACTAATACAACCTTTATGACAAATAATTCACGTCTACCGTGACAACACAACACAAGGAATGGATGTTCTTAATTTGAGATGGTAAATGATTCCAACCATTTGCACTTCTGTAGCTAAAGCTGTTTCAGACGGTTATTTTGACTTGTGCTCCTTTAACTAGTTGTTTTAGAACCCTTAAAAACACGTCGACAAAGTTAAATCAAGCCCATTGTGCACTTTTGTACAGAACAGAAGCTGTGTGTTTGCAACGTCTTGTTTAGAGAATGGGGATGGTAAAGGAGAAGGCGGAACCTTACTTCAGATGAGGAACAAAGCCGGAAGCAGCAGTTAAGCGTTTTAAGACACTAGACACTTGTTTTTGATGCAGGCAGCTTCATTCCAGTACTAAAATACCATAAAATGCTGCTTATAAGCCATGAAACAGCAGTTTACGGTAATTATATTTAGACTCTTTTCCTACCTTTGCCACATTTGGTACAGCTTCAATTAAATCGGTCAACTTAGAGAATCCAAAAGTAGCAATCTTGCACTTTCGACCGAAGAACTTCATATATGTTGACACAAAGTTTCCTAAGGCAATTAGTCTATCAGGCTGACTTTCAAGTAGTATTTTCAGATTCTTCTCAAAGGCATCGATTTTCATACGTTGGGTCAGGGAAAGCCATCTCTCAGAACCTTGAATTCTTACCTGAAAATATCAGTAACATTTTAGGACAACTCTGGCAGAGACCTTAAGGCTAAAACAGATGCCTGTACACTGTAGCTTGGGATCAGCATGTTTCTACTCAGTAAAAGCACGTTTCTACTGGTACATACCTCTACTACAGATGGTAAAGCTTCCAGAAGAGACACAACAGAGGTGAATCCATAAATAACAGGATCAAATGGAGTTTTCTTGGCAAACCATGACTGGTATTCAGAGAGAACTGCACAGAGTGGTAGTCTGAACTCGTCCTGAATAAGTAACAACTCTTGTAATTCCTTACTCAATTCCAGAAGTTTGCTAACATTACCGCCTGTTGAAAAACAAAGCAGGATTGTCAAGAACTTTTTTCCACATTCATCAAACACAAGGAAAAAATTGAAATTTTAAGGTCTTTTTTAGGGTTCTGGATGAGAATTTGAAATTTTCAGGGATTTTAAAGAATTAAAGAAGTGGTACAAACCCTGGGAATAAAATCGGATAGTAAAATAATTTTACGGTGAGAATAAGAAACGGAAAAACAAGAAACAAACACAAAACAACAAAAAACAAAAAGACTATTATTAAAAGCCATATTGGGATTCAAAAAACAAATTTGTTTGACTCCACAGTACATGAATTGCACAGCTTGCATACCATTCCTGATAGCTTGTTTCGCCCAAGACACCATCAATGAATCTGTGATCTTGACATTTGGAACATTACACAGGACATCAGCTAAGGTATCTCCACTGTCACTCAACTCAATCATCTTATCAAACTGAAGCCAGTACGTTGCTGCAAAGCTAACCAATGGTATCGCTCCCTCGGAGGATTTCAGAAGAGCATGAACATCACTTGCAAACTGCTCAGGTTTGACGGATACTTTCACAGTGCCAATAGCTCGTGTTATCAGACTTATCGCCTGATTGCCAGGCTTACCCATTATCACAACTAGGTCATGAATAAGTCCAATGGAACTCATGTCAAATGCATGGGAACACTTCTCATAGTAGTCATTAAGGAATTTGTTTAAAGGCAAAAAGTGAAGAGGGGCTTCTTTAAGAATGGAAGTGACTTCACAGCGTAAGAAACAAAGATCCTTTTCTTTTTCAGTAGCAATATTGACAGTTACATGAGTGTTGAAGATTTTCTTCTGGTGCACTTTAAGTATGGCAAGGTGAGCATCAGATAGTTTTGGCACTTTGACAAATGCCCTCAGAGGAATGCCTTCCCCACTGTGAAGTATGACAGAATAAACCTGGAGGGAGCATAAAACAACAAATCATAATTTTAGTTCCACAGATTTCAATTGCTTCACTAATAAAAGGGTCACAGCTCCTCAAAAGTAACATTAATTTTTTCCATCACTATAATAATATCAAAAAAGGTAAAAGCACAACAGCAGTGACTCCCTAAAGAGAAGCAGTCCCTTCAAACAACAACAACAACATCAACAAGTCTAAACTGAAATAATAATTGTGCTGCATTTAGTCACTTCAGCAATATAATTTGACCACTGAACTGAATAGCATTGTCAGCAGATACTGCAAAGTACATGAATCTTCTCTTGATTTTTGGTTGTAGCAACACCAACATTGCACAGAATCTTGTGGGTTTGCTAGTATGGGAACCATACTACAAATCACACTAGGAGAATAAAGACACCTAATGTGAAATGTGACTGAAATACATAATAAAGTTTTCTTTCGAATCACCTCTTGAAAGGAAGCTTTTTTAAAGACTATTAGAATAAATAGGCTATTTGAAAGAAACACTCTGTTGTTTAACGTGGTAGTGACGCCTTTGGTTTGGTAAATCTTACCAAGGACAAAAAGAGTTTAACCAAAATATCTGTCATTAACAACATACACCATACCTTACAATGTTCTCGAAATACTGATGCCAGTTTTTTCTTCAACTCCTTTTTGCTTACAGTCTCATCAAGGTTTGTGACGAGTAAATCTATTCCTCCTCGCTGCTGATCCAAAACAGTGAAATTATGTAGACTAGCCAGCCATGAAGCAGCAAGGTGTGGAGCACCCACTACAGGAGGTGCTAGAGGGGTTATACCAGGAAATCCTGGGCCCTGGGCAGGAAGGTTCATAAAGTTCTGATAAATAGGATGTGGCCATATTCCAGTTACAGATCCATTACTGAACATTGTCTGATGGCTAATAAACTGAGGGCCTGTGGATAATGAAGGAGAAGGACCATTTTCTTCTGTGCTGTCACTGGATTCAGGGCTATCATCTGAAGGTTTTGCATTAATTTTGTCCTCAGGCTTTGTACTTTTCCTGTTTGTTGAACTGTTATCAATAACGAAATCATCCAACATTGCATTAGAACTTCTCCGATCTTTCTGGAGAGGTGAAGGTTTTGGTGACATTGTTGAGCTCTCAGTGCTATCTACTGCCTGGGATTTTTTGCCTTTTTGTGGACTACCTTGACTTGTAGTGGAATAAACAACCTGGATTGTTGAGCCGAAGACATCCTCTTTGTCCATTCTTCTTCTTGCCCTGCAAAATTGATAATTAATAAAAGAAAATGTACAAGTTGAACACATTGCTAGCTTTTATTCCTGGTGGCTGCAAAAATACAGCTTTCTACGGCAAAATTTAAAAGGTTGCTTTAAGGAATTAAATAAAGTGACTTTTGTGCCTCTTTTTTTTACTGCTCATCCTCCTACCATTCCCCCCCGCCCTTTACACGTACCTAGCAGACATACCAATAAAAATCAATCCATTATTTTGCATCTGTATGTTTTGACTCAAAATTAGAAAACCATTACTTAAATAAATAGATGTGTCATCTAAGTCACTGTGAATCAATCTTAATAATTATTGTTTTAAGTGAAAACACAGATGTACAGTACAGATTTCAAATACATGATTGTATTTGACAAGATTTGAAGTAGAGGATGATGAAAATTTTTACCTGGCAGCACTAGCAGGATTTGGGAACCTTAACACTGAAGTTCTTCCAGAGATACTGACTACTTTGCCACCACAGTTGTCAGACAGCTTTTTCAGCCTGTTTTTGACTTGGGTAACATCTTTTCCGATGGGAAGATTCAGAACAAGTAGCTCTGATGATAAGCCACTTTCATCTGGGTTCTGAAGTCCAAAAAAAATATTGTAATTATACCTACATGTATAACAAAATTCTCAAATCTAATTGGATATCAACTGTCTGCTTTCAGCATTAATGGGATAGTGTTGTTGTAGGACAGTATACGCCATGCATAAGTAATAAATTTGCCAGATAGTATGCACCATCGTACACACCTGAATGGCTTAGTTCTTCACTTCTAGCAAAATGCTCTCCAAATATCTTTTAATTTAATTTTAAAAAAAGCAACTTAAAATATCATAATCTTTGTTGTAGTTATGATTAATTGGTAACAGAACTTCCCATTGCTCAATTTAGTCTGCAATCATACTTGTGATTAAACAAATCGGACCTCTGCAACAAGATCATCCAATTTTTATAATCACTTGTACACTGTATGATTACAGACTGAACTGGACTCCACTCACTCTTATTACTACAGTGTATTTATTATGCTAAGAAGCAGACATCACTGTTATACCATATGATGTACCATATGCACTTAACAGCCTAAGTTCTACTATAACATAATGTTCTACAGCTCACTTTGATCATTTATTCAGGTGACATGTGAAAATCGCTGCCACCTTCGATACTGCAGATGTTATGCACTGTAGGTGATATGCAGTGCAAAATAAGGGAATAAAACTTAAGGAAGACATTACATGTAGATCCAGGCAAGGAGAAGTGGGTTTAAGAAACAACACAGTCACATTTCAATCAATGACAGTAATTTAACAACCAAACTCAAAGTATTAATTGGAAATCTGAATAAACACCATGTCAAGTCATTAATAAAACTTCTATGCTACATGTAAAAATGAGGTGAAGAAATATTCAAGGCAGTCAGTACCTGATATCATAACCAACTTCACAGAGGTGATGGATTTTCATGTTGTTTTTTCTTTATATGTTATTAATAGAGTGGGAATAATATTAGTCAAGGAAAACACAACTCACCTTTGGGGGAAAGACAACAGGCAAATCGGCAATGAAATGATCAAATCTTTTCACTTTTTGGGCACAAGCTAATAAAGCAGGTTGGGCTTGGGCATTGTGAAGACAAATTACTTCGAGATTGTGCCGATGACGTAAATCTGACAGTTCAGCAGCAAAGTTTATGTCTCCAGACACCAGGATGACTGTGGCTGGTGGAGGGTAGGATTGTGCAAACCGTCTCAAGCTTTGACGTAATTTATCATCGGCAGCATTCTTTGAGGTGGCATTTATATGAACTACAGTTACCTACAAAAAAAGTACAAAAGAGTAAATTAACATGTGAATGAAAGCAACATAGAATGGTTGGGGAACATAATGCAACCAACCACAATGAACGAAAGTGAAATAATTATTTCACTACATTAAATACACGTACATGTAGCTAGCAGCTTGATTATTCTGTCAGAGGAAAAGATTACCTGTAGCAATAGTGATGTTAATCATAAATTCTGATAAAGATTATTATTGTAAAGATTAATTATAATAATTATTATTAATAATAATTTCTTAAATTCTATTGCACAATTATCCATGTGAGAATTTTCAATTGTGCATATGATTAAAAAAAGCATTTATTATTATTTTGCTGCAGTTAATTTTTCATCTCAGGTAATTTTTTATTTTTGTTTTGTTTCAACATCATTAGCATATATAACCACACCCAAAAACAAAAGAAAAATAAAAATTACCTGAGATAAAAAATGAACTACAACATTATTTTATAAGAAACATGTGGATTTTATTGCAAGTGATTTGTACCTTCTAATTTTTCCAGTAAACTTCAAAACCATGATTTTCATGCGGTTACATAATGCAGTTTAAGCAAGTTTACAACAAAGTCTGCAGCAGAAGTTTCAGTGCACTCTCACCAGTGTTGCAAGGTCAACATTTTTCAAAGTTGCCTTTGGTGGACTTAAAGACATTAGTATTAAATTATTGCCCCCACACCCAACTTTCAAATTTTGCTATGTGTACACTGTATGCAGTTGTTAAAAAATCTGTAATGCCTTACAATGTAGAAACCATGGGTCTGTAAGCCAAATGTCATTAAATTAACAGATAACAAAGAATTACCTAAGACTGTACATGTAGTCTGGCCATCAATATTGAACTATTAAAATATGACAAACAATCATGCAAACACAAGCCAACAGTTTGATGACTGTCACATTTTCTGCAACCCCCTCCACTCCTTCAGGAATTATTAAGTGAGGCTTACCTGTGCTTTGTTTAATTCTTCAATGACTTCTTTCTTCTCCTTGCTAATATCACAGACACACATGAATTCAACCTCTCTCTTTCCAGTAAAGAACTCCTTCCTTATTTTCTGGACAACAGCTGAGGCAGACTTGCCACGGGGTACAGGGCAGTTTTCTATATCCCAGAATACTCCTATAGGTTCAGTCTCTGACACTACAGAACCCTGGGATGGTGAACCTGTCACTGAGGTCATGATACCTAAAGCTGCATACAAAAAAAACAACCTTCTTATTGCACTGAAATGTGCCATTGCCTTCATAACGTAAGACTGAAATAGTACAATGTACATTGTCTGCTATAAGGGACAAACAATGAACAAAAACCTCCTCCTTACTATTGGTATTTGGGCACTATACACACTTTGTAAGTTGCATAATGTTTGGTTTATTAGGTTTGTATGGGAAACAGAAAACATAAAAAACGAAAGCAAACAAACAACAACAAAACACCAGAATTCTTAGCTTGCTACCGAGAAAAGGAGATTGATGACATGACATCCCACTTTATGGAGAAAATGATTTACATTAAAAATGTCATTAATCTTGTAAAAAAAGGGAAATTCTGGCCCACGATTATGCTTTCTTTTTGCATTGCAAATAACAAATTGAAGACAAAATTTGTCACACGTCCTAAGAAGCTACATTTGGGGGAGGAGGGCAGAGTGGAACTGACATACATACCTTCTAAGTCATTGACAAGTCCTCTGACTGAAGGAGAATTTGGACACCTATGGCCTCCCATGGCAGCAGAATCAACAGAGAGATCAAACCCACTCAATGAATCTCCAGAGTTTTCATAGCTTTTCCCACAAGATGAGCAAACACAAAAAGAGCCAGTCCTGCTTCTTCCGGTGCTTTCTGTTTGATTCCTAGAACAGTCGCATAACCCACTAGAACACTGTGAGAGATGATTCACAGTGGATATACCTGGATTCCTGCCATGAAAATACTGAGGTCTGATGAGATTCTGAGGAGAAGTACTTGTGAGCAATACTGTGCCATTCTTACTTGCTGTTGAAGATTGAAAAAAGTTGAGGGGAACAGAGAAAAGTCCACCATGACTGGCTGGCAAGGATTCTGTTGGAGAGCTCAGACACGTATGCTGCAGTCTTTCCTGTTCACTGAAGAAGATGGCTTTACACTGAAATGAAGGAATAAAGACCATTTACAGTTGCTTGGAGCTTAGTTTCCAGTAAAGTTTGATTTAATATATCAAACATGAGATGCAGTGTTTCATCACCAGATGAAACACCGAGAAGAGAGTTGAAAATACGACGCGCAGCGGAGTATTTTTGACGAACTTCGAGGTGTTTCATCTGGTGATGAAACACTGTGTCGAATGTTTGATATTTCTTCTCAAACAAAATCATTTTTGAAGGAGAAATTAAGGATGCAAATACTAAGCAGTGTTTCATCCGATTTCCAAACACTCATTAAACATTAATTTCCTTTGTATTTTCTTAATGAATTATTAATGAGTTTGAGAAGGATCATTCACTAATGCATTCTCTACCTTCTATCAGTAAATAAGTGATTGATTTGCTATGGTTCCACTTTAATGCTGTTTTTATTTCAGTTCCTTCTAACTTAAATTAAACAATGCATATTCTTAGGCCTTAGTCAATTATTTTACTGTGTATGTGCGAACAAGAATACATCAATACTTTGTCAAAGGTATATCAAAAAATATGCAGAGGAAACAAACTTCCTGTTCAAAACAAGGTGTTATGTGTAAATACCACAGTGAAATTATAGCAAAAAGTGCCCATAAAATGTGGAGTATTTTGTGAGTACTTCTACATTGTATTTCTACTTGGTTGATTTAGAAAAAAAATCTGAGTACTTCTTCTTCTAGTTTGGTTTACTTTAGGAAAAAATACACCTGTAAATATGAAAAGAGAGCATTGATTGAACTGATAAATGCTGTTTGGAGATGAATACATTTTATAAATTAGAATAAAATAGAGTAATAGTAATAATAATAATAATAATAATAATAATAATAATAATAATAATAATAATAATAATAATAATAATAATAATAATAATAATAATAATAATAATAATAATAATAATAATAATAATAATAATACAAAAACCAAGCATTGTGTTCGTGATACCTGTGCACAAGATGATGTAAGGGAAATCTTTTTCTCTCTCCCTCTGTTTATATGCTCCTGCAAAGCATCTTGTTCCATGAAGTGGGTATTGCATCCATCAAATCCACATTCACCAGTACACTTGAAGGCATTGTGAGATGGACATCTTGCAGGAATCACTTTAGCAACATTATCTGCTACATAATATGAAGAAAAATCAGTAATGAATCCAAAAAATGTAATGGTACATCACATGCATGCCTCTCTACCATAATTTTATCTACCCACAAATCATGCACACCTGTGTATTACCTTAACATGGCTTAAAGAAAGACAATAATATTTCACACAGCCTTGTGCAACTTTAGCTATCCAAGTATTACACCTGATAGCAATCTGCAGGTTTCGGTGTACAAATTAAGGTGTATTGCAAGGTACATGTAACAGGTCATTTTGCCTGAAAGATGATTCCCCGGAACTTGTTTCACCCGGACATAAGTCGCTTCAGCCGATGTTTATTTGTTGTTCTTTAGTCTAAAGAAATGAATAAGCGTGAATGACAGTGCCTGCACATGTGGATCAACAACTTTTTCCAGTGAAAACTTCACACAAAAAACCACAAAGATTGACAGCGATCGTTGCGATCACTGAGGTACATGTAGACTTCAGCTTTTATGTACAGTCAGTTTCAGTATCTCAGATGTGATTATTGAGATCGATAATCCTTTTGAGCAACCGCAGCAATAGAATCCAACCTAAACTAAAAACACCCCTGATAAGCCAAGATGTAGAATGCTATGTGTCATCAGGTGAATCGACTTATGGCAGGGATGGGAATAACTTTGGACGAATAGACTTTTGGACAAAATGACCACAATTCTATTGCAATGGTAACGCAACAGTGCATGTGGTGATAACAAGACCTTAAAATTTGTCTGGGCGAAGAACTTCTTGTCATTGCAGATAATATTTACAGAAAAAGAGTGGTTCCAAATACCTGGCTGTTGTTTGAAGAGTTTAGGATGTCTTTGAGGGCAAAACACATCCGTACACTGCTTCTCAATCCATTTTTCACACACAACATCAGTTTGACTAGCCGCGAAGCAGTGCCGGAAGGGACACTAAGTACAAAAATACAACATTTCCAGAATTGTCATACATGCAACACCCTTCTACGCAAACGAAACTCTTCTACAATATAAATGGGACAAAAAGGGAATATGACACTGCAAGAACAAGTACTAAAAGTAAATGCGAGTACTGCATTTTGCAACTCAACTGCTCAACTGATAAGCTTCATTGAACACAACATCACTGGTTAACTAACCTCACTGGTTTTCGGACAGCACTCGCGTTTTTCCATGTAAAAAACACAGTCTACAAGCGCTTTACAGTCCCTTTTCTCGGAATCTTCAGCTTTTATGGGCACGAAGGTTGTACTTCTTCCTGTAGCTAAAAGTTCTCGAGGTCCTTTCGTCTTTATTGCCCGTCCTAAAACCCTGCATCCGTCCATTTCCTTTGCTGCAGTTTCGGCGGCTTCTTGGGACATAAAATTAACAAAACCACACTGTTTCGATTTGCCTGAGGCATCTTTAAGTATAACTATATTTTTTATAGGTCCAANTCACTGGTTAACTAACCTCACTGGTTTTCGGACAGCACTCGCGTTTTTCCATGTAAAAAACACAGTCTACAAGCGCTTTACAGTCCCTTTTCTCGGAATCTTCAGCTTTTATGGGCACGAAGGTTGTACTTCTTCCTGTAGCTAAAAGTTCTCGAGGTCCTTTCGTCTTTATTGCCCGTCCTAAAACCCTGCATCCGTCCATTTCCTTTGCTGCAGTTTCGGCGGCTTCTTGGGACATAAAATTAACAAAACCACACTGTTTCGATTTGCCTGAGGCATCTTTAAGTATAACTATATTTTTTATAGGTCCAAATTTGTGAAAGAAGTTATGAAGTATATGTTCTTTTACATCTACAGACAATCCACCAACCCACACCGGAAAAGCCGCCATCTTTTACTCCATCTTTGCCGACCCCTCGGACGGGCTGGGTCTGATTCTTGGTTACTTCTTCATGTTACGTATGCACGAAATGACGTAACACTGATCTCAATCTCGGAGATCTGGGCACAAGATTGTTGCCGGGGCCGCGGGGAGGCGGGAACCTTCCTTATATGAGGCGGCCATATGAGGCTAATAGGTAGATGTGCTGCTGGGTCGCATTTTCAATAGAGTTACCGTAAAGTTCCGAAAATAAGCTCCTCCATGTGTAAGCCCCTCCAAATACAAGCCCCCCAAACTCGTATTGCAAAAAGCCCTCCGTTAAATTGCCCCTCCAAATATAAGCCCCCAGGGAGCTTGTGTTTGAAAAATGGCCTGAAATACAAAGTATAAAAACAAAGCAAAAACGGTAAATTTCCTTCCAACTATAAGGGTAGCCTAATCGATTTTGAAATGCATTATTTCCCTCTATAGATAAGCCCCTCCAAAAGGGCCTTTAAAAAATATAAGCCGCGGGGCTTATTTTTGGAATTTTACAGTACTAGAATGGGGTCGCACATTTTCGAATTTTTTAGGGTAAGACAGTTCTTCATATTTATGGTTAGCAAACGTACCAGAATGTTTTTACTACAGATGAAAAGTAAAGTGCTCTTCATCCAATCTGAAAAATGGGTGAAAATTCATAAAAATAGAAAGTGACTAAGTTGGGATCCTGAAAATTACATGTTTGCCCAAAAGTGACAAAGATGGGGTCTAAAACTGGCCACAGAATAGACTTTAATGGGGTAGAGGCTCTGAGAGGCTGGCAGCACATACCCAGCAAATTGAATTTTAGCTGATAGAATAACGGTACCCTATCTAAGCATCACACTGGGAACACAATGACAACAAGAGAAAAAGTGAAACCCTAAACCCTATCAGGCAGCACATCCATCATAGTCACATTTTGTTGTAGCTGAATTCTTTAGGGCTGCATCCAAAGTAAATAAGTAAATAAATAAATAATCATAATCATAATCATAATAGTTCCTGTTATTATTGGAGCACTGGTACCATTCTGAAGTGACTGGATGGTTATCTGAGAAACATAAATGCTGGGATAAAGTTTGCAGCACTTCAGAGAACAGACTTCAGAATAGAGGAATTCACGCTCATAGTTGTACCATGGGTAATCAGGGCAAGCTGGAGGGAAATTTAAAGATTTGTATTGTTGGTTTGCACGTGATGTCATGGCAGCCATGTTGGTGGTGTGTTGGTGATCAAGAACAGAACCATTTCTCTCCTCTGGGAACTAAACCCTATTTTCATGTACATTCTTTGAGAAAAAATTATATTGTACTGACCACGAACACACCACCAACATGGCTGCCTTGTCACATGGTTGCAAGCCAAGAACTGGAATTCAAAGCCAGCTAATTCTTCTTGAATTCATATATTTGATGCTTTCTCTTTAAAAAAAGTTCAAAATGTGACCTTATTTTACACCCTTCATTTTTTAATGAATTTAATTCTATTTGCAAATCAATTTTTTTAAAACCCATTCTGTCAGAAGCCTTTAACACCAAGATATTTAATTTCAGGAATGTTAACAGGACACAAACACAAGAAAAAAAGAAAGAAAAAAAGAAAAGAAATGATAATGTCTTTTGAAGCTTTTTTGTGTTGTATGTCTTGATCTTTACTCTGAATGAACATACATTAAACTCAAAAGACTCAATAGAGTCTGTTCAGATGCAAATAGTACTATTTCTCAAAATGCAAAGTGCCTCATTATTGAGGTGGTTTCTATATTACAGTTCATATCACTGACTCATTGCTTACATTAAATGATGAGCTATTTACAGTTTAAATGGTTAAACAAGTTTTTCCATCTCAGTTTTGACATGCTCTGCTAATTCTTTGTACTCCTTTGTCTTCAGCTCAATGATCTTATGCTGAAATAAGATAAAAAAATAAAAAAAAAACAGTGATCAGAATTGCCGTGGTAGTTCTCTTGACGGAAACTCTTGTAAGTGGACAGTTCTACTCACTGCCGCGCTCACAAATACCCATATTTCTCACCTTCCATACAATTAACTCTGTATTTTTACATTCCTGTAAGGGGCAACCAGTTTCAGCCCCTTTTTTATGTCCTGAGGGTTGTCCGTTCATGAGAGCTTCCACTGTATATCAATAAATTTTTAAGAGGGGATCATTAACATGTTTTTGTAACATGTTTTAAGCAAAAAGGAGACTTGAGAAATACTTTTGAATCAGACAAAACTATGAAAGTTGGAACCCTTTTATAACAAATTGCCCAGGGACTGGGAATATGTGATAGTTTGTATTGGGGTAGAGGTATCCCGTAGGTAAAATCTGTTCTCAGGTTAAACCTTTATTCATCCTAGTTTGATTCAGAATTTCCTTTGTTTCCAAGCCCTAATATTTTGTTATTCATATGAGACAAAGGAAATTTTGGTTTAACCTGAGAAGGGATATACCTACAGCAGGTACTTATCTATTGCTTTGATAGTATGTTAGTATGTACAGCTTTACCATTCTGTTTATTTGTCTTTTGGTTTCCAGTTCCAAGAAGTCCTCAACTGTCCAATCTGCCTCTTTCTTGTTTAACAGGAGAAATTCACATTTAGGTGAATGAGATTTGTGCTCCTCCCTAAAACAAAAAAAATGTATGTCAGTGTTGTCAGTTCTGTGCATTAGAAATTTGACTTGTAAGTGTATTAAAGGTACATGTACCTGAAATGCTGGTTAACTAAATACATACATAGGATTATCCTCAGGCTCCCATCCTTCCAGCTCTTTGAAGCAAACAAAACAGCGTGCAATGTCCGCATCACGGTCATTAGGAGAATGGAAAAATCCTGCTTCAGCCATCTAATAAACAAATGGAAATTTTTCACCCTAATGCATCAGTCAATTCCACCTGCGCCCAGGCCCCCCCCGGGCTGACCCCCGGGCATTAGCATTTTTTTTGCCTTGGATGGCAAATTCCCGGGGGTGGGGACTCTTGAGCTGTCAAATTCCCCGGGGTGGGGACGAAAAAAGAGAGCAAATGCCCCGTCCTCCGTCAAAACTGCAACATTTTTCATTGATCGCACAGACAAATAGTGCCGTTTTAAGCATTTTAATGTGCGATTTTTTTGGTTTAATTAACGTCTTCCTTTGTAATAGCGCGAGGATTCTAATTAAGACTTCACGCCGCGACGGCTTGCACCAGTTTTAATATGGTTTTAGTATTGGTATAAAATTATTGACATTAAAATTAATAGAGCGCTGTAAAGTTATATGTTATGAATAGTTTTATAAATAAGAAAGGATGTTCTTCAAATAATATCAACAGAAATTTGATTCAATAACCAAAAAACGTTGATTCACATCGATAGCTCCAATTTCGCTACGTAATGCTAGCTTGATAAGCAATGAAGAAATGCATACATACATTTTAAATCGAGAACATGCCTTTACAACCCTCTACAATTTATTTCCGTCCTTGACAAATGAGCCAATCTGCTTTTCTTCCAGTAAAACCTTATATTCTGATAGGAAACCGCGTGCGTGTCAAAAGCTCGGGATTGGCCCGGGGGTTGGCAAATGCCCGGCCCCCAGGCAGTGCAACATTTGCAAATGCCCCACCCCCGGGACTGACAAGGCGGGCAAATGCCCCGCAGTTGCCCGGGGGGGGGGCTGGGCGCAGGTGGAATTGACTGATGCATTAAATTCAAGATTGGTCCTAGTCTCTCAATTTAAGAAAACATGTTCTTATTTTACAAGAAAATTTAAAACTAATCATAGGATAAGAACTCTTTTTTCTGTAATTTAAACAGATAGTTTACGAGAACAAAATCTTATTCTATGATTTGTTTTAATTTTTTTACTTAAAATAAGAAATCTCGAATTGAGAGTGTTTACAGAGCGTCAAAGAAGAAACAAAGAATATCAAATTTTGAACTTCTAATGAACTGATAGCCTGGGAGGAAGTTCACTTATGGGAGTCGCAGGTTAATAAACTGGGAGTTAAGGTTATATTTCATAATCTATGCCAACTATTAAATAAAATGGGTCAAACACAACATTTTTAGAAACTTATTTTTTATAGCTCTAAAGGAAAATTTGTTTTCTCCTCTCCTATCTAAAGGTAGTACCTTCTCTGCAGTACATGATGAACCTGTCTCTTCAGTAAAGGGCCAGTCTTTGAACGTTGCCAGCCGATTCTGGAGTTGATTCATGCTAAAATCGTAGTTTAGATCAACCATTTTTATCTTGCCCGAAGAAACAACTTTTTGAAAATGGCGGTTCTGTTGACTCTAAACTCACCCCAGTCTGTCGGAGCAAGACAAGCCCAGTCTTCCGCATCAAATTACATCACCCGGTTACACGCCATGAAAATGGCGACAGAAATGAAAGTACGGAGAAACTGAATTAAATATACTTCCTGAAGAAAAAGACATGTCTCAAATTGTAAGTAATTACAAATTTTTAAGTGAGATGTTATCGTCATTCTTAAAAAATGGAGTTATTTTAACTTTTGCCGCTAATTGTTCTTAACAGATCGTGCGTGTTCAATCCCGCGAGGGTACCAAGAGAATCAAGTGCTCTACCACTGAAACTATCTCCTCGTTTCTTTCAAAGGTGCTCAGAATGTCCGTAATCACCTGTTATTTAGTGATCAGTTGATTAGTTAAGTAACACCGGAGTTGCCGTTTATATTTTAAAGTTTTATTGACAGTTCTTCTCTTAGCTTCAGCGGTTTACAATTTTTTTAGTGGCAACTGCCGGTAGTTCAACGTACCACATTACAAGCAATTGCCCATGTTGGAACGCGTTAAGCACGGCCGTTTCTCCCTACCTCTCTAAATAGCAAACGAAAATCAATCAACGAAGCTGTTATGGAGAGATGTGGGAAGAGTTTAACTTAACAAAAATTAACACTTTCATAATTGAAAATGTCGTAGGATGGAAAGCGTGTAAGGACTTGAGGGGGGCTTGGATGGAAATATAATTGAGGGAAAAAAGTTTCTTGTACATTTTAGAGTCGTTTTTCTTCACTCTTGAATGAAAATTAAATAGGTATATCTTAATAAATTGTTACAGATCTATGACAAAAGAATTTTAAGACAATGGATAAGAGGTTGATTGTATTTTATCAGTCTCTTTAAGTCAAGTAAAGTCACTCAATAGAATGCACAATGTTAAAAAAGATTGAAAAATAAAGGTCCTTAGTATTTTTTAAAAAAAGAAAAAGAAAAGAAATTAATGCCTAGTCAGCATGCTTACTCAGCAGTTTTTCTTAATGATAAATCATTCAACCAATCAATCAACAAGAATGATTAGAATTTATTTTATTGATGTTTTGATGCGTCCAACATCAATCGTCAAGAATGAAAGAAAAAAAATGCTGGGTGTCAAAGTTATAAAAAGAGTTGAGATTTGAATCTTGAATTCGTTACCTGTAGATGGCATTCATGACACACACTTTGACACTTAACGTTTTGTCCTTCTTAATAATGATGTTGGATACATCAAGACATCCAATAACATTACAAGGGCTGCAAAGAAAAGTCAGTTTTACAGCTTGCCGTAGCTAGCATGTACTAGCCCAAGAGCCTAATTTAACCAGTCCTCATTTTTTTGATGAGCAGGATTGATTTCAGTTCTCCTGTAATTTGAATTTTCTAAAACAAAATTCACCAGCCCAATAGCAAAATCCTCTAGCCCCGTGCTAGCAAACACTCCTCTCTTTGCACACTGATTACTTTTAGTTGTTTTTGGTAAATGCCAATAACAAGACCATGTGAATCAATCAATCAATGTTTATTTGCCCCAAGGATACATCAAGTTACAGTAGTACAATTTGCGTATACAGTGAAACCTCTATTAAGCGGACACCTTTGGGACCTTCCCAAGTGTCCGCTTGCTTAATAGAGGTTGTAAAAATTGCGCAATGTTTTTCAAGATTAACATTCAGTGGTTCCTCTGTACTGTGATAAAGTTGACCATGAAGTGCTGTATTTGGGCAAGACTTTTAGGTGAACTTTGATCGTGAATGACAATCATACGGCCGGATATCAGTCTAATCTACAGTTTATTGACACTTAAATGTGTTGATTTATCTTTATTAATTGACTACAGTACGTATTTCAAGGATGTAATCCAATACTACTATTGTCAATTCAGTCCAGTGTCTGCTTAATGGAGTTTTTTAACAATAGAAATTAGCCAAATACAATCTATTTTAGTGTCCACGTCTGCTTAATAGAGGTGTCTGCTGAATAGGGGTTCGTTATAAAGGGGAATGTAAGATGTTAATTTCGGAACCCAGCTTAGTGTCTGCTTAATAGAGGTTTCACTGTATAATGAGGAGCAGGAACCCTACCTGGCTTACAAGGAAGAGTAACTCTGTAACTTTTTGAATACTCTTTCACTCTGCTAATTTACAACATGTTCATAACCAAGACCCTGCTAAACCTTTTTTTTGATCAAGGAAGACCCAAAAAGGTGTAAAAAACTTTAATGTTTCACTAGCTTCTGTTTGTTAATGACATTGCAAAAATTTTTTGTTTAAACCCTGCCAGGCAGCCTATCCCTCTGTTAAGTACAGTTTAATTGCAACCTGCCTTAAAATGCTAGAGACTTTAAGACATACCTCTTTCCTGATTCTTCTTTTGCTACTTGAGGGTCAAGTGCATTAGCTTTAATTTCAACCGGATTTAAATAAAAGTTGTTGTTGTTGTTGTTGTGCAGGGACAGTGTATACTTTTTCAGTATGCATGTATGATAATGTTCTTCTAATTAACTATAATTCTGAAGATTTTCATGTTTATTGTTTCCTTAGATTTCAAAAGAACTTTCTCTTCCCAGAGGTGGTTGGACATTGTATAAAGAAAGAAATAAAACAGGAGAAATAAAGAACTCAACACGGAAGACACTTAATTCATTTGGCGTTAAGTATGTCAATGAACAATGGTTTCATTCATATAGTGCCAAGTCAAGTAGCCTCATTGCTTTTCTTTCTTTTTATTAGGCATGGAGATATGCTTTTTCTCTCCCAAGAGATTTCTGCAACAGTTAATGATACATCAGAAGTTTCTTCTTTTCCTTTGTCTACTTCTACAACTGCTGCTCCCATAGCATCTTCTAGTATCAAAGAAGATGAAATTGATATATTTCTCTCAAAGCAGGATGGCCTGATTCACAGAGGGCGAGATCCCCAACTGTAAGTAAATATTATTTTACATCTGTTGTTTCACAGTCTTCTTCTATTTAGTTAGCATCAATTCCACAATAAGGTGACGATGAACACACACTGGGCAATTTTTCGTTGTCAAGCCTGCTTACCATTATGGTGGCTTTCAGCTTATATTCATAGTTTGTCTGCTGTTGCTTGGTTTAGACATGTTCATCTTAAAATGGACAGGCCAATAACTAATTCCGTAGTGTAAAGAGGATCATGGGACTTTTTGTCATTACTAGAGCTATCATGCATATTTCACTCTTCACTCATAATGATTTTATACAAACTAAAAAGTTACCAGTGTACATGTACCTCATAACTCACTGATTAATTTTTACAGGTGTCATCACAATCCAAACAGCAAGTGTATTCACTGTGTACCGCTTGAGGTAGGGTTTATTGGAGACAAAATGCTAAGGTCAGTAATTGTGAAATCTAACTGATGGCCTGACGACCACTTTATCTTCCTACAGCCTTATGATGAAGAGTATCTGAAGAACCATCAACCTCCAATCAAACATATGTCATTCCATGCCTTTCTCAAGAAGTTGGGACAAGGCACAGAGAGGTGGGTACTTCCTTTGTCTCATTTGTTACTTATATGAAAATATTGGCAAGTTAGAATTATTTAGCCTCTGTCCAACATTTATTTCAGTGTTATTAAAAGAAATAATGCTGTGGAATAACCCCTGGTATATAACCAAAGGAAGAATGTAAGAGTTTTTAAACGATTCTGCTGGAAATGTCTGGTTTATAATGTCCTGCATGGCAGAGGTAACATGTAAAAGTAGAGGAGGAATACTGGGGATGGCCTACACTCAGGTTGCACTTGTTCATTCTCCTTCCTCGTTCTCTTGCTTCTTTCCACCTTCCCTTTCAGCAAATGCTCCATTTCCATTACTAAAAGGCATGATGGCTGAGGGTTTAACACCTTCAAATTCAGATCTGAAAGTCTCGGTTCAAGCCTTGCCCTCACATTGTTTCCTGCGATGAGAAACTTTGCAGTACCTTGTCTCTCTCCACATTGGCCCCTGTTGTTCAAAAGAATGGTGGATAGCACTATCCACTGAAAACTCTCTGTCCAGTAGATAATGCAGTATTATTGGTTCTCCTACTACTTTATAGCTACTGGATAGCAATTTATCAGAGCGATAGTGCTATTCAAAGGTTGAATAACCAAGGCTCAGTGTATAAATGGGTACTGGTGGAGGAGGGATGGGGGGTGTAGAAAAATTCCAGGTCGCTTCATGGGATAGAAAACAGGATACGCTACAGCCTGCTGTGCCACTTGGCTAGTATGCAGACTTTACCCTGTACCTAATTGCTACAGAGGATACATAGTTTGGCATGATCATCAACAAAAAATAAAGTTATTTTGAAGCAAATCCTGATTTTTCATGTTAGCCAATTGCTAAACCTGCTGAACAATGCAGCTTTTACCTGAACAATGCAACTTTTAATAAGCAAAATAATTCAGCACCAAATTAATGGGCTTCTGTATTGTAAAAGAGTTGGGTTCTAATTTGACTTTCTTCCAACAGAGGAAAGTTTACTGTGCTGGAAGACACAAGCTGTAGAATTAAACCTGGTTGCACAGAACACCCACCATGGCCTGGTGGAATTTGTACCAAGTGTCAACCAAGTGCTATCACATTGAAGAGACAGGTAAATAGTGTAAGCCAATGCTGCAGAGAAATATCATGAGATAGACAATAGAAAGAAAACAATCAAGCAAAAAAAGCATAGGGATAAAAACAGAAGGGTCCAGAGCAGTGTTCCAAGCTGTGACTGTTTTGGTCACCATGGCAACTAAAATTGCAGAGAAAGTTACCAATTTGATGACGTCTGTTCTATTTGGCAGTATAGATGCTCTAAGCTGTAGTTATTTTATTAGACCTTGTTGATGGTCTTTTTTAAGTTTCAGTGAAATCATGAAATGTTTGCACAAGATATTATTTATGCTAAATTTTCTTTATAATATTCTCTTTCACCCTGGTTTCTCTAGTATTAAGCCTTGAGATTTCGTTTGTGTCTCCAGATTGGATTGCCACAGTTGGGCAGCCATTTAGATTACTTCTCTTCAACTATTCTCACAACATTTCACAAAGTTGAGCTACAGATATGGGTCATGTCATGCAATTTGGGTCACCAACTCAATCTGAGGACTGGGGGTGATAATTCCGGGAAGAACTGTTTGTGTTATTTGAGAAACAGCTTAGCATTGTTCTGATCTACTTGCAGACATACAGACATGTAGACAACATCTTGTTTGAAAATCCCTTTATTGTGGAACCATTTCTGAATTATTGGAGGAAAACAGGAAATCAGGTACGACTGTTATCCTTCCGTGTTTATCAATATTATTAATCCACACTTCTACAAGACGAAAAAGAAGCCTAATTTTAATATATTGCATTTCACCATTTTTAGAGGCTAGGATTTCTTTATGGGCGTTATGAGCATCACAAAGATGTCCCTCTTGGAATAAGAGCATCTGTGGCTGCCATCTATGAGCCCCCTCAGGTAAGTCCCATTTCTGATTACTTTTGGAGACAAGGCTTTTAGTGTTAGAATAAGCACTCAGTAATTTTTGCTTTGGGCCAAAGTAAAGTTTATTTGGAACAATTTAGTTTTTGAGGCAAAGTCGCCACGAAACAGCTGTTCTGTTTTAAGCCCTCCCTAGTCATTCAGTCTTACATTTAGTTGATGTTTTAAACACAAATGAAACATTTTAACAGTTTGATCACTCTATGAAAAGAGCTGATGAGATGTCGTATCTTAGGTTAGTTTAGTGTGGGTAGTAAGAAAAATAATATACTCTTAGCCTTTTAGGGACGTCACGAAAACAAGCTCAGGGGAAAATAGAACGCGTGTGATGTTGGAAAAGGTGGTTGCGGCAGAAAAGAATTTCTCTCTCCCCAGCCTTCGCGTGTTTTTCGTATCAGTTTTCAGAATCGCTTCGCATTACCATCTTTGGAGTCCGAAACACGCTTAATGTTCCCATGGTCCTTTGCGCGATATCTCTTAATGCTCGCAGTCTCGTTTTCTACCAGACACTTAGGTCGCCTAAGAACGAGGCAGCGAACAAGCTATATTGCTTTCTATGTAAAAAAAAGTGCCAAATTTTGATTTTTCAGGAAGGTACTCCAGACAGCATAAAACTCTTATCAGACCCTAATGAAGAAGTAATCGACAAACTAGCTGCAGACTTGGGTCTGCAGAGGGTAGGTTGGATATTCACAGACCTCGTGGCAGATGATGTTAGGAAAGGAACCGTAAAACATCTGAGAGACATTAACACTTTCTTTCTCACTGCCGAGGAATGCATCTTAGCCGGTCACCTGCAGAACCTTTATCCATCACCTTGTATATTGTCTTCGAGTGGAAAGTTTGGGTCCAAGTTTACCACAGTTGTTGTATCAGGTCTGTAACTAGAGACCTTTACTTAGATTTGAGGACGAGATTTAACTTAAAGTTTTTCGGGTATTCTCAAAAAATTGACATCCCGGAAAGGTTCATTGTACCTTTTTTCACCAGAACAGTGCGGTTATTTTTACTGGAGGGGGTTAAGCCCCCTCACGATCACAAAATAATAAAACTTCTGACATTTGAAACCTTTTATCCGCCACTGCGACATTCTCGCTAAACTGCTCGTGATAGAATGACGACGACTATCACGTTTTCCCGCCAAAATGACGCTGGTTCTTGCGCGCGCACTACTTAGTATTGAGAAAATCTCTTCTTCGTAGTTGTTCTCTTCTTAGAGTCCAAAGGGTTGCTATTCTTGCAGTATGTTGTACTTTATTCTGTTAGCGGTTAAGGAACCTTACGTCACTAGAGTTTCACTACAATATCATAAATTTAATCAGTTTTTCAAGATGGTTGCCGTTTGCAGTTTACGTCGTTATTTCTGATAATTCGTCTGGAATACGGAAACGTTAGCGACGGCACAAAATAGCTGCTTTTATATTATTTTTTTCCTTTTACTAACTTTCCATTGCGTTTTAGCTAAAGCTTTGATCATCATTCCAGCGTCGCATAATTTTTACTTGCGTAAGCAGGTGAATTTTACGCGCGTAAGTAAAATAGAGGCAATGTATGGAAGGATCGCACGTAAAAAACGTTAAGCGACAGTGGAAATCTACCCTTACATAGGACGCGAACACCATTCCGTATGAATGGCGTAGAAAGACAGCTGCTATTTTTCTCTCGTATAAATGGTACTACTATCTTCCTATCCAGGTAACATGGACAATCAAGTTGGATTTGACGGGTTTCAAGTTTCTAACCAGTGTATGGCATTAGTGCGTGATGAGTGCCTCGTACCTACAATTGATGAACCAGGCTTAGGCTACATACGGGAATCCTCAAGTGATCAGTATGTCCCGGATGTTTTCTACAAGGTTAGATATATCGGTTGGTAGAATCTCCTAGGAGAGTGCTGCTTTCTACGCTAATAATTCTTTATTTGTGTTTCCAGACTGCTGATTCTTACGGTAATGAAGTAACACTACTTGCGCGACCTATGCCGATCGAGTATGTGTTAGTTCAGGTGGGTGCTGTTGGGTATACATGTCGTTTTGAACATAGCCATGTTTTAGTTAAATTTTCTAACTTCAAAAGCTGGCGTTGTTGAGACACTTGCTTCCAACACCCTATGGTGGACACTTGCATACTACAGGTGTCTGGTTATTTAATTTTGAAATAAAACTAGAGCTTAAGTATAATCTTTATAGTGGTATAGGTTGTTTGATTCGTTAGTAAATCCGAAGGAGCTCACTATTAGGCACCGAAACTTATTTCGTGGTTGCCAAGGTTTCGTACTTCCACGCATTGTAATTGGCTGTGAAATCTAGCATTACTCTTCATTGTAATTACAAGTCAATTAGTCGTGATCTCGCTCGCGTTTGGCCTGCAATTGGCAGCCGGCTACAATCTTTATAGTAGTAATAATCAAAGATTACGTAGTGCATTGAACCGATCTCGATTCCGGGCTCACTGTCCTGTTGCCTGGTCCTGTGGTAAGTCGCTGATGATGTCATAATGTCCGTTCAATCAACGGCGGTTGTCTCATACACAATTCTTACTTTAATCTGCAATAGTAGTGCGTTCTTCTTTGTCGAACACAGTTACTTAAAATTTTGATCGTTTGTTTGGATTATTGCGTGCATCCGTGGTGACAGACGGAGTGACCACAGTGTTGGCGATAGTAAATGAGATTACTTTCAAAAGAAATCTGATGCTGTGTGGGTAGTGAAATACTCGAGTGTAGTTTTAGCAACTAAGTTGATTGGACTAAGTATTTGTTATGACTGTAATGATTCACCTTGTTTGGGACAGGTTCCAGCCGCTTTTCCTGTCGAATCACAGTTCACGTTCACCAACCAAAGTGAAGGAGAACCGTTTCCCTTAGAAAACCGTTCAAGTATGGGAGAACTTCAGGTAAGGCAGTTCTTTGTTATTTCTGGTTGAATGGTTTGTATTTTATGCAAATTTGACATTTTAAATCCAGTCCCTATTTATTATTCCTGCCAATATCTTTCACACGGGGAATCTCACTATGGTCTATGTTTTTCGGTGTTGTGGTTGTTTGATTAACGACTATTGATTTAAAGATTTTTTTCCTGTACAGGATTTTAACGCATTAGTGAGATACTTAAACCAGTTTTCTCCAGATCAGTTCCTTACAGCCATGTCTAATTTTCATCTTTTGGTTTTCTTGGCAACTTGTGATATGCTTCCTTTAAAAGTAAGTACAGCTAGCCCGTAGGGCGTATTGTTTTGTGCACGTTTGTGACTGGAGAAAAATTCACGCCTTTAATGTCGAGAGAGACGCGGGGTTCATGTTGCAGAGAATTGTTGTAGGAACAAAATAATTGACTAAGTCGTCTGCAGTGCATTCAGGGATATAGTCAGGTCTCTTAGGGTCAGGATCGTTACAGAGTTGACAAAAGCACCAAACTTTGCACAGCGATAGCTTATTGCAGTACCATGAATATTAGAGGGGGTGCCCAATGCAAATATGCCACAGATTCACAGAGGGCGAGATCCCCAACTGTAAGTAAATATTATTTTACATCTGTTGTTTCACAGTCTTCTTCTATTTAGTTAGCATCAATTCCACAATAAGGTGACGATGAACACACACTGGGCAATTTTTCATTGTCAAGCCTGCTTACAATTATGGTGGCTTTCAGCTTATACTCATAGTTTGTCTGCTGTTGCTTGGTTTAGACATGTTCACCTTAAAATGGACAGGCCAATAACTAATTCCGTAGTGTAAAGAGAATCATGGGACTTTTTGTCATTAATAGAGCTAGCATGCATATTTCACTCTTCACTCATCATGATTTTATATAAACTAAAAAGTTACCAGTGTACATGTACTACATAACTCACTGATTAATTTTTACAGGTGTCATCACAATCCAAACAGCAAGTGTATTCACTGTGTACCGCTTGAGGTAGGGTTTATTGGAGACAAAATGCTAAGGTCAGTAATTGTGAAATCTAAATGATGGCCTGACGACCACTTTATCTTCCTTCAGCCTTATGATGAAGAGTATCTGAAGAACCATCAACCTCCAATCAAACATATGTCATTCCATGCTTTCCTCAAGAAGTTGGGACAAGGCACAGAGAGGTGGGTACTTCCTTTGTCTCATTTGTTAGTTATATAAAAATATTAGCAAGTTAGAAATATTTAGCCTCTGTCCAACATTTGTTTTAGTGTTAACAACTGCGTCACTGAGTGGAGGTGGGTGCCCGGGATGTTCATGGGCTTCCACCTTTGGCACGGCCAGCCCTTAGACAGAGTTAAGCCCCTATGGCTGGCAAACCCGCGCCCTCCAGCCATGAGCCCCCACACCAATGGAACCAGGCACCCGTCACACTGATTTAACAGTGGAAGAATTAAGGGGGGGGGGATGGGGGTAAAAGAATGATCCAAAGGCTAAACGAAGAGAATGGCTGCCACGAAAACACTGTACTGAGGACATGGAGGTGATGCAAGCAAGGCTGACCGCGCTTGAGCCAAACGACTGACTGCTGACCACGCTCGTGCTCCTTGTTGTTAACTCTGTTGAATAAATATTTATTTAACCTCATTTATTAAAAGAAGTAATGCCTTGGAATAACCCCTGGTATATAACCAAAGGAAGAATGTAAGAGTTTTTAAATGATTCTGCTGGAAATGTCTGGTTTATAATGTCCTGCATGGCAGAGGTAAGATGTAAAAGTAGAGGAGGAATACTGGGGATGGCCTACACTCAGGTTGCACTTGGTCTTCTCCTGCCTCGTTCTTTTGCTTCTTTTCCCCTTCTCTTTCAGCAAATGCTCCATTTCCATTACAAATAGGCGTGGTGGCTGAGGGTTTAACACCTTCAAATTCAGATCTGAAGGTTTGGGTTCAAGCCTTGCCCTCACATTGTTTCCTTCGACGATAACTTTGCCGTACCCTGTCTCTCTCCACATTGGCCCCTGTTGTTCAAAAAAAGGTGGATAGCACTATCCACTGAAAAACTCTCTGTCCAGTAGATAATGCAATATTATTGGTTCTCCTAATACTTAGCTACTGGATAGCGATTTATCAGAGGGATAATGCTATTCAAAGTTTGAATAACCAAGGCTAAGTGTATAAATGGGTACTGGTGGAGGGGCGGGTGTAGAAAAATTCCAAGTCGCTTCATGAGATAGAACACAGGATAAGCTACAGCGCCTGCTGTGCCACTTGGCTTGTATGCAGACTTTACCCTGTAACTAATTGCTACAGAGGATACATAGTTTGGCATGATCATCAATAAAAAATAAAGTTATTTTGGAGCAAATCCTAATTTTTTATGTTAGCCAATTGCTAAACCCGCTGAACAATGCAGCTTTTACCTGAACATTGCAGCTTTTAATAAGGAAAATAATCCAGCACAAAATTAATGGGCTTCTGTATTGTAAAAGAGTTGTGTTCTAATTTGACTTACTTCCAACAGAGGAAAGTTTACTGTGTTGGAAGACACAAGCTGCAGAATTAAACCTGGTTGCACAGAACACCCACCATGGCCTGGTGGAATTTGTACCAAGTGTCAACCAAGTGCTATCACATTAAAGAGACAGGTAAATAGTGGAAGCCAATGCTGCAGAGAAACATCATGAGATAGACAATAGAAAACAGTCAAGCAAAAAAAGCATAGGGTAAAAACAGAAAGGTCCAGAGCCGTGTTCCAAGCTGTGACAGTTTTGGTCACCATGGCAACTGAAACGGTAGAGAAAGTTACCAATTTGGCGATGTCTGTTCTATTTGGCGGTATAGATGCTCTAAGCTGTAGTTTTTTTTATAAGACCTTGTTTATGGTCTTTTTTAAGTTTCAGTGAAATCGTGAAACATTTCTACGAGATATTATTTGTGCTACATTTTCTTTATAATATTCTCTGTCACCCTGGTTTCTCTAGTATTAAGCCTTGAGATTTCGTTTGTGCCTCCAAATTGGATTGCCACAGTTGGGCAGCCATTTTGATTACTTCTCTTTGACTATTCACGTAACATTTCACAAATTTGAGCTACAGATATGGGTCATGTCATGTAATTTGGGTCACCAACTCAATCTGAGGACTGGTGATAATTCCGGGAAAAACTGTTTGTGTTATTTGAGAAACAACTTAGCATTGTTCTGATCTACTTGCAGACATACAGACATGTAGACAACATCTTGTTTGAAAATCCCTTTATTGTGGAACCATTTCTGAATTACTGGAGGAAAACAGGAAATCAGGTACAGCTGTTATTCTTCCGTGTTTATCAATTAATCCATCACTTCAACAAGACAAAAAAGAAGCCTAATTTTAATATATTGCATTTCACCCTTTTTAGAGGTTAGGATTTCTTTATGGCCGTTATGAGCATCACAAAGATGTCCCTCTTGGAATAAGAGCATCTGTGGCTGCCATCTATGAGCCCCCACAGGTAAGTCCATTTCTGATTACTTTTGGAGACAAGGCTTTAAGTGTTAGAATAAGCACTCATTAATTTTTGCTTTGGGCCAAAGTAAAGTTTATTTGGAACAATTTAGTTTTTGAGGCAAAGTCGCCACTAAACGGCTGTTCTGTTTCAAGCCCTCCCTAGTCATCCAGTCTTACATTTAGTTCATATTTTAAACGCAAATGAAACATTTTAACAGTTTAACCACTTTATGAAAAGAGTTGATGAGATGTCGTATCTTAAGTTAGTTTAGTGTGGGCGGTAAGTAAAATATTGATACTTTTAGCTTGTACAAGGTTCTCAGGTAGTAGGGACGTCATGAAAACAAGCTCAAGGGAAAATAGAACGCGTGTGATGTGGGAAGAGGGGGTGGCGGCAGGCTTTCCCTTCCCCCAGCCCCGCGTGTTTTTCGTGTCAGTTTTCACAGTCGCTGCGCATTACTATCTTTGGAGCCCGAAACACGCTTAATGTTCCCATGGTCCTTTGCGCGATACTCCTTATCGCTCGAAGTCTCGTTTTCTACCAGACACTTAAGTCGCCTAGGAACGAGGCAGTGATCAGGCTATATTGCTTTCTATCAGAAAACTGCCTTTTCACATTCAGAAAAAAGTAAAAAATTGCCCAATTTTGATATTTCAGGAAGGAACTCCAGACAGCATAAAACTCTTATCAGACCCTAATGAAGAAGTAATCGACAAACTAGCTGCAGACTTGGGTCTGCAGAGGGTAGGTTGGATATTCACAGATCTCATGGCAGATGATGTCAGGAAAGGAACCGTAAAACATCTGAGAGACATTAACACTTTCTTTCTCACTGCCGAGGAATGCATCTTAGCCGGTCACCTGCAGAACCTTTATCCATCACCTTGTATATTGTCTTCGAGTGGAAAGTTTGGGTCCAAGTTTACCACAGTTGTTGTATCAGGTCTGTAACTAAAGAGCTTTACTTAGATTTGAGGACGAGATTTAACTTAAAGTTTTTCGGGTATTCTCAAAAAATTGACATCCCGGAAAGGTTCATTGTACCTTTTTTCACCAGAACAGTGCGGTTATTTTTATTGGAGGGGCTTAAGCCCCCTCACGATCACAAAATAATAAAACTTCTGACATTTGAAACCTTTTATCCGCCACTGCGACATTCTCGCTACACTGCTCGTGTTAGAATGACGACGACTATCACGTTTTCCCGCCAAAATGACGCTGGTTCTTGCTCGCGCACTACTTAGTATTGAGAAATCTCTTCTTCGTAGTTGTCCTCGTGTTAGAGTCCAAAGGGTTGCTATTCTTGCAGTATGTTGTACTTTACTCTGTTAGCGGTTAAGGAACCTTACGTCACTAGGGTTTCACTATAATATCATAAATTTAATCAGTTTTTCGATTGAGTAGATGAACGAACATGTCGATTAATTTACACTGCGGTTATTTCGGTGTGAAATAGAAAATGTTATATGCAGCGAAAGTGCAAAATAGGCCATCATTATAATCCAAGATGGTTGCCGTTTGCAGTTTACGTCGTTATTTCTGATAATTCGTCTGGAATACGGAAACGTTAGCGACGGTACAAAATAGCTGCTTTTATATTATTTTTTTTCCTTTTACTAACTTTCCATTGCGTTTTAGCTAAAGCTTTGATCATGATTCCAGCGTCGCGTAATTTTTACTTGCGTAAGCAGGTGAATTTTACGCGCGTAAATAAAATAGAGGCAATGTATGGAAGGATCGCACGTAAAAAACGTTAAGCGACAGTGGAAATCTACCCTTACATAGGACGCGAACATCATTCCGTATGAATGGCGTAGAAAGACAGCTCCTATTTTTCTCTCGTATAAATGGTACTACTATCTTCTTGTCCAGGTAACATGGACAATCAAGTTGGATTTGACGGGTTTCAAGTTTCTAACCAGTGCATGGCATTAGTACGTGATGAGTGCCTCGTACCTACAATTGATGAACCAGGCTTAGGCTACATACGGGAATCCTCAAGTGATCAGTATGTCCCGGATGTTTTCTACAAGGTTAGATATATAGGTTGGTAGAATCTCCTAGGAGAGTGCTGCTTTCTACGCTAATAATTCTTTATCTGTGTTTCCAGACTGCTGATTCTTACGGTAATGAAGTAACACTACTTGCGCGACCTATGCCAATCGAGTATGTGTTAGTTCAGGTGGGTGCTGTTGGGTATACATGTCGTTTTGAACCTAGCCATGTTTTAGTTAAATTTTCTAACTTCAAAAGCTGGCGTTGTTGAGACACTTCCTTCCAACACCCTATGGTGGATACTTGCATACTACAGGCATCTTGTTATTTAATTTTGAAATAAAACTAGAGCTGAAGTATAATCTTTATAGTGGTATAGGTTGTTTGATTCGTTAGTAAATCCAAAGGAGCACAGAATTAGGCACCGAAACTTATTTCGTGGTTGTCAAGGTTTCGTACTTCCACGCATTGTAATTGGCTGTGAAATCTAGCGTTACTCTTCATCGTAATTACAAGTCAATTAGTCGTGATATTGCTCGCGTTTGGCCTGCGATTGGCAGCCGGCTACATTCTTTATAGTAGTAATAATCAAAGATTACGTAGTGCATTGGACCGATCTCGATTCCGGGCTCACTGTTCTGTTGCCTGGTCCTGTGGTAAGTCGCTGATGACGTCATAATGTCCGTTCAATCAACAATGGTTGTCCCATACATAATTCTCACTCTAATCTGCAATAGTAGTGCGTTCTTCTTCGTCGAACATAGTTACTTATAATTTTGATCGTTTGTTTGGATTATTGCGTGCATCCGTGGTGACTGACGGAGTGACCACAGTGTTGGCAATAGTAAATGAGGATGGATAGTGAAATACTCACGTGTAGTCTTAGCAACTAAGTTGATAGGACTAAGAATTTGTTTTGACTGTAATGATTCACCTTGTTTGTGACAGGTTCCAGCCGCCTTTCCTGTCGAATCACAGTTCACCTTCACCAATCAAAGTGAAGGAGAACCGTTTCCCTTAGAAAACCGTTCAAGTATGGGAGAACTTCAGGTACAGCAGTTCTTTGTTATTTCTGGTTGAATGGTCTGTATTTTATGCAAATTTGACGTTTTAAATCTAGTCCCTATTTATTATTCCTGCCAATATCTTTTACACGGGGAATTTCACTATTAGTATGGTCTATGTTTTTTGGTGTTGTGGTTGTTTTATTAACGACTATTGATTTAAAGTTTTTTTTCCTGTACAGGATTTTAACGCGTTAGTGAGATACTTAAACCAGTTTTCTCCAGATCAGTTCCTTACAGCCATGTCTAATTTTCATCTTTTGGTTTTCTTGGCAACTTGTGATATGCTTCCTTTAAAAGTAAGTACAGCCAGCCGGTAGGGCGTATTGTTTTGTACACGTTTGTGACTGGAGAAAAATTCACGCCTTTAATGTTGAGAGAGACGCGGGGTCATGTTGCGGAGAATTGTTGTAGGAACAAAATAATTGACTAAGTCGTCTGCAGTACGTTCAGGGATATAGGTAACAGGGACGTGAAGCGAGGACAAAATCACGACAGTACGCGCACGGACGTATGTTAAGAACGTGCAGCGGAGGCCAAGTCACGTGCAACGCACACACACACAAACACCCTTGTAACAGGAACGTGTAGCGGGCATATAGTCACCCTCAGTAAAACTTGTAACAGCGACGAAATGACGTGCAGCATGCCCATGAGGAAGCGTACCGGGAAAGAATCACGTGTTGTACACAGATGGAACAGGGACGTATACCACTGAGGACATAGCAGGGACAAAACCACAATGTACGCGCATTCAAGAAAATATTGCAAAAATTGGATGGTTTGCCACGCAACAATTTTAATTAGACACGAAGCGTTTTCTACGAAAAGAAGTAGCTACATATAACTAATTATTATATACATCCTCGCCCTTGTTTCCACTTAGTGGTACATGCAATCCCATTAAATAAAATAAGAAAGCAGGTGTGGATCCCTCGAGTTCAACACTAGGCCATGCCCTTGCACCTTGGACCCTCTTGTCTACCCGACGCTGCAAAGTGTGAGTTAACGTTACTTTATGTCATTTGCAAGGGTCACCTGGAAGAGTTGTGTGAAGCGGTGAAAAATAAGGATTCCTTTGCGGCACGCCGATGGAGCAAGGGTGAGCAGTGGTCTACAGTGATACAGCTTATGCAAGCGGCAAACGGTAAGCAACTACTAGTGGACTTCTATGCTAAACATAGGCCCTACAATGAGGGACAAAGGGTTGAGACAGTTCCATTGAATGGCCCCTTTTTTGCATAGTTGACATCTCTTTCCCCTGCCCCTGTGTACCCCCACCCCACCCCTCCCACAAATCATTGTGGTGTTTTAAACCCTCAAATCTGACTTCATCTGCAAACAACATTGATTCCGGGGGTGGGGGATATACGGCTTTGAAACAGAATTGTTTGAAATTGTTGATAAAAGCGCTCGTTTTTAGACAAGTGTGTCAACCANTAAACCCTCAAATCTGACTTCATCTGCAAACAACATTGATTCCGGGGGTGGGGGATATACGGCTTTGAAACAGAATTGTTTGAAATTGTTGATAAAAGCGCTCGTTTTTAGACAAGTGTGTCAACCACTTTTGTCAGTTATTATAGCTCCATACACTGGAACTGAGGTTTCTGGACGCAAAACTCGTTGTTGAAAAAATTAACATATTAGTAGTCGACCGTACACTTCGTTTCCGATTCAGATGTCGTCTTGATCACACACACTAGAGAATTCTCGCCGCATTTCTCTCTGGAAACGTGTATCGTGGTGTTTTCTCGCAGGCGTAAAGGGATTCACACTCACATTGTGAATGAGTTTCGTACGCGGAAAATTTCAGTCGCTTTAAGGACTGGTTGTTTTATGAACCCCAAGATAGACATCTTGATTGCTGGCACAGCTCAAGAAAGCAACATTGTCCTCTATTTTAGCTTAGCCCGGCTCCAATAGTCACGTGAAACCTGGCCCTCAATCATTCTTGTTGATTGTTTGCTTTTTAGCGCCTTCGCCGGAGCCTCATGGTTCACATGACGTGGACATGATGGATGCGTCCCAGTCCCCTAGCGGTGCGAGTTGGACATGCAAACATTGTACTTTTATTAATCAACATGGGCACGAGAACTGTGACATGTGCGGACTGCCTCAGCGCTAAACCACCATAACAACATTACTTATTTAACAAGAATAAACTGCGGATACCGAGGGTGAGGCATCGCAACTTTACATTCCAGGGGGACTTTTCTTCGTTTTGGCAACCAGATCCGATTTGGCACGCTTTTCTTCCGGAACAATTTGCCGCACTTTACATTGAGGCCAGTGGAATTTCTTTGCGCGTGTGAGCCGTCCTCATTGCTTCAAACTGCGTCGAAGAAAGTACGTAAGGCAAAGACGCAAGATCACGGAGTGTATGCCTCTTAAAAAACCGGACTAAACTCCAGCTGGAGGAGAAGGGTCGAGCAAACAAACCGTGGGATTAAGCCCTACGGCCAACTTACAAAGATGCTTTATGGGGAAAAAAAAAAAAAAAAAAAAGCGATCACTACAAATAAAAAAATCGTTTCTGAAGTTCTTGTTGTGTCTCATATTTGGATTGTGTTGCGCATATTTTAACAAGACAACCGACCGAGTATAGCGAAGACTACACTAGTCTTCTCCGTAGGCATCTTAATCCAAATATGAGAAGTACGAGGAGGACAAGAGACTTCCCTAGTTTAAGGACGCGCTTGGAAGTTATAGGTACAACAAAGAACGGATTACACGAAGAGAAGGAGCGTGACCCCCTTTGCGCGCCCCGTTCTTTCTTGCGTCCATTTTTTTTGGCAAGCTCCTGCTTCGTAGGCTACAACTTCCCCTTTCACTTTGTCTTTCGCCTTTTATTTCGGTCTTCCCGTCTGCATTCCTCAAGCGTTAACTGTAATAGCCCTTATGCATGTTTACGTCGTACGAGTAAATTTCACCATCAAGTCACGTTTACAAAATATAAAAGTGCGAAGTTTTACATATCATTTCCCAAGGAACTACAGTTGAAAAGAATACCCATGCACAAAGAGTGCAAACGCGAAGAATTTTGCTTACAAACGAGGCTTGGTGGTGAGATTTGCTCGTCTGACGTAATCACACATAAGGGCCATTGTTTTTTCAGTGAAGCCCAAAGGGTTGTCTGTGCAGAAGGCTATTATAACTGTAAGCAGAGATTAAACTGACAAATTTTTGCCACCTTGAGACCATTCACGATCCCCTATTTTTCCGCAACAGCTACGAGATCGAGCGCTTACCGTTGCGAGCGGCCACCGTGGATGTACATGTACTTGTTCCGAATTTAACCTGGGAGAGCAGTATCAATTTGAATCCAAGATGGCCACCTGTAACTTAGCCTGCGAATAAAGTCGTTTCTCCTTTCTCCTCGTCGCTGGGGACGTTTCGCCAGGAGGAAACGTCTGTGACTCAGCAACAGAAATTCCATACTGATGACGTACCGTTGCGACCTTGAAAATCCTTTTTTACTTCTAAAAGATCGGGTTTCCTGTTGATTTTATTTTCTCGTTTCCTGATAAGATTTCAACTGGTAAGTCCTAAACTCGGTTTTGAACTCACTCGGAAGGTTTAGCAAAGTCAACATAGCGAAAGTGCGAACAGCCGAACTGAAAATTCACAAGACCAATGACGTAAGGACAAAGTGAGCAACAGAGGCGCACTTTCGCGTTCTCATCTGACGTTTGCTGGGTCACGTTTGCTAATACATGTTCCTTGATCTGAACCCAAGATCTCTTCCGGCCAGCTGCATAGATACGACGAGGTAAACTGGACAGTAGAGGAAAAGTAAGAAAAAGACTGTTTTTCGCATGGGAAATTGCATATGTTGTTACCAGCAGACGCGACCGTGATATTTTAAGTCTGACCAGAAACTCATAAGGGGTGGAACAACCACTTATGAGTTTCTGGTCTGACTAATTTATTTACTAAATCTCTAAGCTACACTCTCCTGAAAGAGACGCATCTCCTTTGTTTGCATTTTTTCTTTTAGTTTATGAAAATTCGCTTTTTCAAATTTAAAACAAAAGATTGAAGAAGGGATTTCTTTCCTTTCTCTTACATTCAGATCAGCATTTTTTAATTTCTATTGTTAATTTTTCCATTCTTCTGCAAATGAAGCATTATTCCAGTTGTATTGTTTTCCGCAAATCCATGACGTGGTTACCACTAACAACTGTAGCTCTAAGTATCAACTAGCCTAAGAAAACAGCCGACAGTTCTCGAAGCCACCGATAGTTTCCCCGCGAAATAACGTCCGAGAAACGAGTGCAGAAATTCCATGCTGATGACGGGTCACTACCCAGACCAGGGTAGCGCTTCTGGTTGGTTGAAAACCTGCTTCAACCAATCAGAAACATGCACTACCAAGTGGTAGCGTCCCGAAATGTCAGCTGTTTTCTCAGGCTATGTATCAACTTCCATCAAGTTTCGAAGATCAGCTTAGGGCTGGCGTAAACGCAACAGGAAAAGTCTTGTATATATTGTGCCCGGCTTGCCTGCTCGTTTGATCTACAGGGGGTGAGTGATTCCTGTTTTGCGGTGTTAAGAGGTGACCATACGACAAATGAACTCATCTAGGCGTCAAGTCTTGTTCTTCCGACTTACGCGTCAGTGATCAGTACGATTTTGAATCTTATCCAGAACTGAGTGCAGAACTGATCATTTGAGCGATTCGATAAAGTTGTCTAAGTTGTACTCCGTCTCGTACTGCTCCTCCTCCCACAGCTCCCCTAGGTTTTCCAGCACGCTCTTGAGTGAAGCTTTGCCGGTTTCATTCTGTTCTCTGCTTGCTTTCTCTCTCTTCTTTTCTTTATCCACTGTGAACAAGTCTAGCAGCTGCCCTGTGTCCATCGTCATGAGACTCGAGTTGTCTTGAGATATCACAGTGTTGGCGATGTTTAGCTTAAATTTCTGAAGGCTGAGAACAAAACGAGAAACGTTTAAATTTGGTTAGAGAAAAAAATTAAAATATATCGCATAAGATAGCTTTGGTATGTCAGCAGCAGTATTTGGCATTTGGATGACTTTAAAAAGTAGAACTAAATGATCGCATTTTTATTAGACAGCTCTTTTCACTTGTCTGAAACTCGGACTTTTCGTCATTCCTGCATGACTGTCTGAGTGAAAGAGTAAAAATTAGGGACCTTGAGCAAGAACGACGGCGACGACTACGAAAACGTCACTTGACAAGTGAATTCGCGCTGCCATACGCCTACTTCTCATATGCCGCTGATGTATCTGCGACGTAACCGCAGGTACGGCCTGGTCTACTTCTCGGACGAATGAGAACATGCACCACCGAGACTGGGATGACCAATGTTGCCGGCCACTTCTGTTCTCATATCGGAACGGTATCCCAGGCAGCACCGGCGGCCATGTCGCAGGTGCATCGGCGGCACATGAGAACCAGGCTTTACAGTGCGACTACTCGAACCGGGGCATTTGGAAGAAAATTATCCAATCACAACGTTTTTTTGGAAACAAAAGATGCTCAAGTTTTATGCAACCGTTGAAAACTTTAACACCGTTGAACTTCCCTGACCTCTCAGGATACAGCCCTTAAAGTAGAGAATGTTATTGGTCCGTTTGCAAAAAAACTTGAGAATCTTTTGTTTTCAGAAAACGTTGTGATTGGGTAATCTTTTTACAAGCGCCCCGGTTCGAATAGTCGCACTGTAATGAACTGTTATAGAGCCAGGTAACCTACCCCATAATCTTTTCTTCCAGGGTTCCACGTGTTATCAGTCTGTACACATTAACGACCTTCTTTTGCCCTATACGATGCGCTCTATCCATAGCCTGGAAAAGAAAAAACAAAGGACAACTTACTCTCAGCCCTTGCTAATCCAAAATCGAAACTTAACAGAAAAAACGCCACATCTCTCTTGAAAATAGACTGCAAAACAGTCGGGTTTTTTTCTCAAAATCAGCAAGGAAATCGGTAAAGCGTGGCGTAAGAGTCTTACCGCGAGCCTCACACTCGCTCTCTGTTTTCAGCCTCGTTCCAGACCTTTTGTTTGACTTCCGCGCGTACTTGAATACGCTAAAATACGGATTGTTTTGCAGTCTATCTTGAAAAATACTCCGTGAAAATCAAATAGTTTCCAGCGATGGTGCTACCAAAGAGGTTTCATTTGAAAGGTTGCAACTGGGAATTCCTCAACAGACTCAGAAGTTAGAACAGTAGATAACTTGCTTTCAGAAATGACTCTTTGCAGTAACTGAGTTTAGGTTTGTTCTGACAAGCAAGAGGGCATCAGATCTTTGAACTGATGCAGTGAAAATTAATAGCGATGCTAGGTGCTAGGAGTACTTTCATGAAATCAAGGCAAACGAAAATGGTAAGGGGAACAAAACGTTAACAAGATACATGTTATCTATACCTGTGGTGACAAAGTATGTTGACTAACTCTGAACTAACGCCAACTGGCGAAGCTATTAACCAACGAATTCGTTTCAAAAGATTGCATTAATGAAAAACAATTAGCCGTAAAGCGTAACAAAAATTATCCTGTCGTTTTGTCATTATGACAACCTGGTTCACAGACGTCATGAGTCCTAAGGACTTACTTGCAGGTCTTTCATGGGATTCCAGTCGTGTTCCACAAAAACAACCGTGTCGGCACCCGTCAAATTCAATCCCAGTCCACCAACATGCGTTGTCAGCAGTAAGATATCAATTGCTAATACATGTTCCTTGATCTGAACCCAAGATCTCTTCCGGCCAGCTGCATAGATACGACGAGGTAAACTGGACAGTAGAGGAAAAGTAAGAAAAAGACTGTTTTTCGCATGGGAAATTGCATATGTTATTACCAGCAGACGCGACCGTGATATTTTAAGTCTGACCAGAAACTCATAAGGGGTGGAATAACCCCTTATGAGTTTCTGGTCTGACCAATTTATTTACTAAATCTCTAAGCTACACTCTCCTGAAAGAGACGCATCTCCTTTGTTTGCATTTTTTCTTTTAGTTTATGAAAATTCGCTTTTTCAAATTTAAAACAAAAGATTGAAGAAGGGATTTCTTTCCTTTCTCTTACATTCAGATCAGCATTTTTTAATTTCTATTGTTAATTTTTCCATTCTTCTGCAAATGAAGCATTATTCCAGTTGTAT